GGCATCAAGCTGGAGGAGTGTAGCAAGTGGGGTCCCACAAGGATCCGTCCTGGGACCACTGCTGTTCCTAGTTTATGTGAACGACCTGCCCGAGGGAGTGAGCTCTCACATGTTAATGTTTGCTGATGATACAAAGCTGATGAGGAAGGTAAAAACAGAGGAGGACTGCAGGACGTTAGAGGAGGACCTAGACCAACTCCAGGAGTGGTCAGATGGTTGGTGGACTTGTGCTCCAGCACGTGTAAGGTTATGAAGATGGGGAAGGTAGAGAGGAGACCAGAAGACAGCTACACCACACCACGAAGGCAGCTACACGAATGTGTGTGAGAGAGAGAAGGATCTGGGAGAGGACACAGTCCCAACACTCACACCGGAGACTCACACAAACACGATAACATCAGCGGCATATGGGACGCTGGTAAATATAAGAACTTCCTCATAAACCTACATCAGGACTCCTTCAAGGCGATCTATACAACGCTTGTTAGACCAACACTGGAATATGCAGCACCGGTATGGGATCCGCACCTTGTGAAGCAGCAAAATTGAAAACTAACGAAGGTTTGCAACAAGACTGGTGCCGGAGCTAAGAAGGTTAAGCTACGAGGATAGGCCAATGGAACTAAATCTCGCTACACTAAAGGATAGAAGGAACAGAGGGGGACATGATCACAACATACAAGATACTGAGGGGAATAGATAAGGTGGACAAGGATGGCCTCTTCCAGTTGAATGAAAATAGTACAAGATGTCACAGGTGGAAGCTGGAAACGCAAATGAACCGAAAACATGTAAGGAAATACTCGGTGCATTCCACAGGAAGTGGAATGCTGCCTCCACCCACATCTTCAAGGCCAGATTCGACGCTGAACTTCAAAATAGTTCAATTATAAGGCAACAGGAACACGAGGCTAGTAGGCGGGGGCATAAAGAGCTATAGATCCCGTAGACACTGATAGGTAAACACCACCACCACCCCCACCACCACCACCACCCCCACCACCACCCCAAGGCAGCCATATTAGGGTGGCAGAGCCCGGGCTATGGCCATATATCACACTCAAGAGGTGTACATGTGGCCTTATAGTGAAGTGGCTGGAGGCACAGCAAGCCAGGAGAGGAACGGAACCAATAGTGAACAAGTGAACATCCTACATCATCCAGGTAGAAGTATATAGGCTAGGGGGATATGTTAAGGGAAGGGGCTAGGAGTGAAGTGGAGGATAGGGGCAATATGTTGGGAGAGGGAGTGTGAGCTACAGAATGAGATTCTTTAGTGTTTACTAAATAAATAAATAGTGAATTTTTGCCCTAAAGGACGAGTTTATTGGGCAGCGCCACTCATCCTGTGAGTGGACACCGCCATAGTGACAGTATTGGGCAGCGCCACTCATCCTGTGAATGGACACACCGCCGTAGTGACAGTATTGGGCAGCGCCACTCATCCTGTGAGTGGACACACCGCCATAGTGACAGTATTAGGCAGCGCCACTCATCCTGTGAGTGGACACACCGCCATAGTGACAGTATTGGGCAGCGTCACTCATCCTGTGAGTGGACACACCGCCATAGTGACAGTATTAGATATAGTGACTATTCTATACTGTATATACTATAGTCACTATTGGTGACACACAACAGTGTCACCAATAGTGACTATCACCGCCCTTGTGACTGTCCAGCAACATGTAATCCACCCATCTTCCTATATTGTCTCGTCTAGATCACTACCATTATATTAGGCTGTATCTCTGTCTCTCACTCTCTCTCGTTTTCTATGTTTCTTCCCTCTGATATTCTCTCTCCCTCACACACACACACACACACACACACACACACACACACACACACACACACACCCTTCACTAATGGGATGGAACCCCATTCTTAAAGGTATTGCAATATTCCTTGTCGGATGTGCCACGTCAGGTTTTAAACTGGCCTGTATTTCTTCTCTTGGGAATGCAAAATGCGACGGGAAATGGTTTGGTGAGGTTAGGCAGCTTTGGGACGAAAGGCTTGTAGAAAGTTGATTGTGATAAGGTTGTAAAGTACCGTGGAAAGTTGATACGAGAGCTGGGGTTGTGTGTGTGGGGGTTGTAACCGGTTTGCTGTAGATTGTGGCATATGGTTGTGGGTGGTTGAAATATGGTTGTGACTCAACTGTGGGAGTTTGTGACGGGTTGTGGGTGGATATGGCAGGGTTTTGACAACTCTGGGATGTGACAGGAGTGAGGGGCCTGACACAGGATTCTGGGAGGCGCTGCAACAGACTTGTAGGAAGTGATGATCTGAATGTTGTGACAAGTAATAATACCATCATGAGTGTCTGAATGCTGAAGGAGGTTGTGGAAGGGTTTACGAGGTCGTGACAAAACTGTGGCAAACTTTGAGGTTCGTGAGTATCCAGATCATAGAGACTGAAGTAATTGTTTACGTTCTGGAGAGCGGGAGGCAGCATGGCGCCAACACCTGCTGCAGGTCACACTCTCTCCTGGAGATAAAATAATGCATGTAATACTTTATTCCTCACCCCCAATGTTATCCCATTTGGTTAAAACCAGATTTACAAAAGCTGTGTTATTATTGGTGTGTACGTTGTAGGGGGACTGATTGTGTAGTATTCACCTATTTGTGTTTGCGGGGGTTGAGCTTTGCTCTTTCGGCCCGCCTCTCAACTGTCAATCAACTGTTTACTAACTACTTTTGTTTTGTTTTTTTCCACGCCACACACACCCCAGGAAGCAGCCCGTGACAGCTGACTAACTTCCAGGTACCTATTTACTGCTAGGTAACAAGGGTATTTAGGGTGAAAGAAACTTTGCCCATTTGTTTCTGCCTCGTGCGGGAATTGAACCCGCACCACAGAACTACGAGTCCTGCGCGCTATCCACCAGGCTACGAGGCCCCCCTAGTAGTCCCCCCGGCTCTGTGGTGACTGGCTTCCGGTTCATCTTTTTACAGTAGAATACCCAAATGAGTCTCGGGAATATTGTGACACATTTTCTCATGTCAGAGTAATAGACAAATTACATGAACCAAGAAGTAATATGGTGGACTCTGTTGGGAGGCGGGACCTAGGAGTTGAAACTCGAGTCTCGGTTGAACCACACTACCACACTGAAATAAAAATATCCTCTAAGGGATGTGAGCATAACATACAAGATACTAAGGTTAAGCATCGAGGAACAAATATTAGTGAGGGATATTAGAAGGAAACACATGAACCGAGAGACAAAGTTGCAACGCGTTATACGATAAAGAGTACTGGGAAGACGGGATACCACCAGCGTAGTTCTCATCCTGTAACTACAACTGGGTAATTACGAAAGCAGCAGTGTGTGCGTGACAAGTATATTCTAGCGGTTATGTATGTTTCCTTCATGAAAAGTTAGATAGTGCTAGAACACTGGGAAGCGAATTCTAGGAGGCGGCACTCAAAAGCCACATCTCGCTTCTCGTAGGTACAGATAAGCAAGCATCGATAGGTAAGAACACACATTTACTAGGCCTATAACTAACTGGTGAACTAAAGTACAAAGGTCATGCTCTAAATTACATTTCGCAAATGGCAAATGTCCATCCGTAATGATGTGAGCCTCGTCCTCCACACAGACCGTGCTGCAGACAAGTTGTCTCTTTTCTTGACGATTACTTATTCATCGTCTTTACGTCAAGCATGTGAGGAGTTGTGTGGTCGTAGTTAGCAGAAAATTGAGCAATAATTAAGAGAGACGATAGGAAAGGTAGAAAGGGAGGCGGACACAGGCTCTGGAGAAGCCGCCACCTGAGTATTACCACACCGGATATTCTCCCCAAGAGGGAGGGAGGAAGAGGTCATCTTACCATCGTTCATCCCGTAATGTTACTGTGCAACGTCACTATCATAGTTTGCGGCCTCCTCATGTTTGGCCCAGAATGTATGTCAGGAATTTAACCATCGTTGCTATAAATTATGATATATCAGAGATGCATTGGGTACCATCTCGATGCCTCCAAATTCCCAACGAGTTTGGGCAGACCCTAGTTTACATAACTTTTGAATATATTGCAGTGTGTGGGTTAAGCCAAGTGTCTGGGTGATCCAGGATGTTGGTTTGATCCTAACATCTGCTCAAAAGAATTTTCTCTTAAAATAATAACTTAAAGGTCTTTGTACACCACTTCCCTTCTACACAGGTACAGACAAGCCACCTGTCAGTGCTGGCAGAAATTATCAATATAAGACTGCTATTTGGCAAGACAACATTGTTTATGTCCTAAAAATAATGGCTGGCACTGTGCAATGTCATGAATAGATCCTTTTAAATTAAATCAGATGTGTTTGGTGTCTTGATATTTGACTGCAAATAAAGTTTTAAATTTTATTTTGAATTCTAAATAAGTATCCTTGCAACTAAAAACATGTCTCCAGTGCATACACAAGAGATGTGAACCATAATATAGTTAAGAGGAATGAATATGCAGGAATTCAAAGCAGTGGAGCAGTACGAGAACAACATGGCATCCAAGGACCAGCGTGAACTACTACATTGTAGTAGTCTACGATGGTTTATAGTAGTTAGTGTAAACAACTACATTGTAGTAGTTTAGGATGGTCTTTGTCACATTAGGAGGAAGAAATTGGTAAATGACCATTCTATACAAGATGCAGTGGCCACACACACAATAAGGAAGTGTCTGAAGTACTAGACATAACCTTCCAGCAGATTTTCAAGCTGAAACGAAACTGGGTATAAAGTAATATCTATAGAATGTAGGTGTAGACTGCAAGTATAAAGAAATATTTACATATGGTCATTGTAGGCTTTGCTATGTCAGGTTGGGCACCACTAAGTCTACGTCAGTGGTCTGGACACCACTGGATACAAGTCTTTGGCTAGATAGGCCTATGAGATTCCTGTCCTAACATGCTATACCATTGAAGTTTTCATGCAGATATATAAAAATTCACAAAACTCTTTCCTATATCAAACCTCTAGGAAAATGATTACTGCATGTATGGCATGAATATTTTTTATAACATCATAATACATAATACAGTATATACAGATAATAACATTTTCAAATGAGCTTTACTCTTCACAGGAATAAAAACAGTGGCAAAACTGTTTCAAGTCTGTGGCAGCTGCCCCCTTGTTTTGTTTATTGTTTTCTGTACAAGAAATCTACAACCAGAATGCAGTATCCTTATCTTCCATTTCTCTATCAAATCCTGCATGTTTTGAAATACAGTACAGTATATCTAATTATAGAAAAAATTACACAAAATACATGGCATTTGAAATCATAAAGCAAAATTTCTAAATTCCTACAGTATTTGTCCTACAGCCCTGTCACAGGTACATTTTAAGAATCCTCACTTGTGTATCATGTGAACGATAACTAATATGGAATCATTCAAAGCACACTTGCCTCTCAAGAACTTTGACCACACCAGCCAAACACTGCCGCAGTCCTGTCCCCAGCGACCGCAGTCCTGTCCCCAGCAACCACAGTCCTGTCCCCAGTGGCCGCAGTCCTGTCTCCAGTGGCCGCAGTCCTGTCTCCAGTGGCCGCAGTCCTGTCCCCAGTGACCGCAGTCCTGCCCCCAGTGACCACAGTCCTGTCCCCAGTGACCACAGTCCTGCCCCCAGTGACCACAGTCCTGCCCCCAGTGACCACAGTCCTGCCCCCAGTGACCACAGTCCTGTCCCCAGCAGCCACAGTCCTGTCCCCAGTGGCCACAGTCCTGTCCCCAGAGGCCACAGTCCTGTCCCCAGAGGCCACAGTCCTGTCCCCAGAGGCCACAGTCCTGTCCCCAGAGGCCACAGTCCTGTCCCCAGAGGCCACAGTCCTGTCCCCAGAGGCCACAGTCCTGTCCCTAGCGGCCACAGTCCTGTTCCCAGTAGCCACAGTTCTGTCCCAGCGGCCACAGTTCTGTCCCAGTGGCCACAGTTCTGTCCCCAGCGGCCACAGACCTGTCCCAGCGGTCACAGACCTGTCCCCCTGTGGCCACAGTCCTGTCCCCAGTGACCACAGTCCTGTCCGCAGTAGCCACAGACCTGTCCCCAGCAGCCACAGACCTGTCCCCAGCAGCCACAGTTCTGTCCCCAGCGACCACAGACCTGTCCCCAGCGACCACAGACCTGGACTCTTGGATATTGTGTCCACTGGGACTGTCCTCTCCTTACTTTGTCAGGTGTCACCAGAAAACTTAACAATTTTAAAAACTGTTCAGTTACCCTTCTAAATATTAGTGTTAAAAAAAGATGTGGAAGCCTGACCTCATTTATTGGCTGATACTTATTTTTCATTGCAACATGACCCTGTGTATATTCATGAGTCTGCAATTGATCTGCAACAGTGAAACGCAGAAAAAAATAATAAAAAAGAAAAAGAAAAAATAATAAATAAATAATTTTGAGCCATCATTAACTGGATTCATTTACTGAGGTGTTAAGTAGCCTGTATCACAAGATGCATGTGGTTATATCAGGCAGGTGTTGATTTTCCCCTCCGATATGCCTTAGTCTTGCCGTATATACCACTAGTCATTCTACCTGCCTCACCTTCAAAGCCAGCCTCATTTTCCATCCCAATGATCATCTTGAGCACGACCTCCATCAGGAACTTCTTCAGCATATGTTTAAAGGACACGGGTTATCATCTCCATACAATGACGTCTTCAGCAGACTTCTCCACTGCTCATGTGATCCACAGGAAATACCACAGTGTTTACACTTCTTTTACCTTAAGCTTCCTATAAGGAATCTTCTACCTCACAACTAAATATGCTCAATAACTATCACTACAGAATTTAAAATGTTGCAATAAGGAGGATAAGTAATGAGATGGTAGTAGTTTACCAACTTTTTGTTAAAACATTATTATTTTTATGGAAGAACATTTGCTTTGTATTTTGGTACTCAGGGGTAATGTTTTTCTGCCGATTGTTAAATGCTTCTTGAACGTTGACCCCCGTCCTTAATATATGTGAAGGCTCTATACATCATGTTAGTTGGGCCTTGTAACATACATCAACAAGCTCAAGAACGAGTCATTCCTCAGTTTTATGAACCCGTTTCCTCTGCTATAAAAAAAAAGAGGTTGCCTGAGGCAGGAGACCCAAAATGGCAGAGAGCAGTTATGTCGCTAACACTGCCACAAAAGAGGCCTAAGGTTGACTTAGTCAACACTAACTCCCACAGCTTTCAAGATAGGATTTATTGGGCTTCTGGAATTAAAGACAAGACTTTCTTACATTTTCATTGTTAAAATATTTATAATTTAATTGAATATATTACATTCTCAGTATAGAGGACATTAAGATTTTGGTCACCCTCCCCCCCATCACTTCCCTTCCCACATTAAAATACCTTCATTACAAAAGTTACCTTCAAAATAACAAAAAAATCATCATTTTTCTATTTTAAACTGTACCATATATTAGGAGAAGTTTTAATAATGTGGATGAATTTATTGGTTATATTCAAATACTGTACAGTATATAATTATTTGGTTTGCACATCTTAATTAGACTGAAAAGAACAAAAATGTAAAAAAAAATTATTCTTGAACTCAAAGTATATAATGACTGACAGTTTCTTAAGTTCATTTCTATTTGCTTTCAAAGCATCTAAAGTAAGTTCACATAGCAGTTCTAGCTTGGTCATAACAGCACTTGTTCAACACATGTAAATTATCACAGCGTGCAGAACATTACAGCATCACCCTATGCCTCTTGGGTGTCCAAGACGTGACAATAGCCGAATCACTCGTGAAAGACTGTACCAGCAGCATCCAAAACCCGTGTATGGGCCGCAGATTGTAGAGGAAATGAAACAACTAGTAAGGAGTTCCGAATCTCTTAGGAATACTCACTCTGAGGGCTCGTAGTCCTCATCTTCAGCATCTTCCTCTTCTTCGTCATTTTCTTGCAGCCATGCACTCAATGATGCATTGGATGGATCCGCAGGATTCCCATCTCCATTCAGTTCAAAGTATACTGCATCAGATGAGTTGGAATCTTCACTCTCATTTTCACCTTCAAAAAAAATACTAAGCTGGGAAGTAATACTAGAGTTACCATCTTCTTCATCATTCTCATTGTCATCCTCATCATCATCTCCTTCCTGGCTGCCTTCTGAAAAAGATTATACTGTTAAATTTACAAGAACTGATAAGAACTTAAACTTGCAGTATCATTACCCTATTACAGACAGTCATGGAATACGGAGGTATCAACCTTGAGAGTAAATAAATGTTACCAGTACTGAGATGACCAATTAACTCAAAACTGCTTGCCAAGCCAGGCTCCACCCACGGCACTGCCCACATGCCGGGCTCCACCCACGGCACTGCCTGCACACCGGGCTCCACCCAGGACACTGCCCACACACCGGGCTCCACCCAGGACACTGCCCACACACTGGGCTCCACCCAGGACACTGCCCACACACCGGGCTCCACCCAGGACACTGCCCACACACCGGGCTCCACCCAGGACACTGCCCACACGTCGGGCTCCACCCAGGACACTGCCCACATGCCGGGCTCCACCCACGGCACTGCCTGCACACCGGGCTCCACCCAGGACACTGCCCACACACCGGGCTCCACCCAGGACACTGCCCACACACTGGGCTCCACCCAGGACACTGCCCACACACCGGGCTCCACCCAGGACACTGCCCACACACCGGGCTCCACCCAGGACACTGCCCACACGTCGGGCTCCACCCAGGACACTGCCCACACACCGGGCTCCACCCAGGACACTGCCCACACACCGGGCTCCACCCAGGACACTGCCCACACGCCGGGCTCCACCCAGGACACTGCCCACACGTCAGGCTCCACCCAGGACACTGCCCACACACCGGGCTCCACCCAGGACACTGCCCACACACCGGGCTCCACCCAGGACACTGCCCACACGTCGGGCTCCACCCAGGACACTGCCCACACACCGGGCTCCACCCAGGACACTGCCCACACACTGGGCTCCACCCAGGACACTGCCCACACACCGGGCTCCACCCAGGACACTGCCCACACACCGGGCTCCACCCAGGACACTGCCCACACACTGGGCTCCACCCAGGACACTGCCCACACACCGGGCTCCACCCAGGACACTGCCCACACACCGGGCTCCACCCAGGACACTGCCCACACACCGGGCTCCACCCAGGACACTGCCCACACACCGGGCTCCACCCAGGACACTGCCCACACACCGGGCTCCACCCAGGACACTGCCCACACACCGGGCTCCACCCAGGACACTGCCCACACACCGGGCTCCACCCAGGACACTGCCCACACACCGGGCTCCACCCAGGACACTGCCCACGTGCGAAGCACCAAGATCTTCAACTCCACTGCAACAAGTAACTTTTCAAGTGGTCTTGCACGAAGGACAGGGGCAGGTAGATGGTTGAGAACAGAGCTCACACCATTCAAGGGATACCATTCACCATGACTAATAGGGGCAATAGTGTAGAGAATGGAGCTCACTCTCACAATTCAGGGGATATCATTTCCTATGTCTTTCTGCAAGCTATCACCAGGAATATCTGGCCTTAGATTAGACAGTGGAATGTAAAGAACTCTCAAAACCAACAACAAAAGTTTCTCTCACAGTGGGAACACTACATTAAAAGTCTAAACTGCTAAATATAATTACCCGACTACACAATTTCTGCAAATAAATTTTAAAAGATGAACTCTGTGCGTTCACTACCTTTACTCAAACACCTGACACTGTTTAATAATAACCCAAGCTAATACTACTGTACTAGAAATTCAAGGTTCAATGAGATTTAATATTTAACCCTTAGACCATGCAATACATATATAGATGATTTGAGAAACAAAAACAGAACCGCGCAATACATTAATAACTGCTTTAGTGTCTAGCGCCTTAATTTAAACGCCCCGCGTGGGATAGGAGCAGCTATAGTGCAGCTACGACTGATGGTTGACAGACGCCACCTAGAAAAAAAATCGTGGTCAACATTCCTGGGTGTGAGAGCTTCAGTACTGAGCGAGCCACCAAGGCTGACGCACGCAGCATGAGCTCACAGCATCGCTGTTCAGCTTGTGACAACAGCATCGCCTAAAAAGTCAAAATATTTATGTTTATGCTATTATTTAGCAATGATAGTATTACAGAAGACCCCCGACTGTGATAAAACTTACCAGGATTCTGATAATAGCAGGATTGTGGTGATATTTAGCACTGTGCTCCATGGTGGGAAGAGTAATGCTGAGGGAGGGAGGGTGGTGGTGTCTTCTGCTGACTGTGTGTGGCCACCTTTTATTGACTGCACTCACCATACCAGCTTAGTGGTTCGCTATGGTGAACACAAATGTAGATACTTATATATAATGTGTGTGTAGAGTGTAATAACAGCAATAGGAGTATGTTGGGGGTCGCCATTTTGGTGAGGGAGGTGCCTCGTCTGCATGACATGTCTTTTTGTTTACTGGTGGCCATTATGATCTTTGGGAACCATACCAGCTTATTTGTACTGGTATGGTGAATAAAACATGTAGATACTTACATATAATGTGTGTATATAGTGTAATAACACCACAAACAGTATTGTTGGAGGAGAAATATTAGTGCGTCTGGCCTTGAGGGCGGCCGCCACCAGCTGACTGTGTGAGTAGCTACGTCTTTGTGCCTTTACTCACCATACAAGCTTAGATGTACAGTTATGGTGAACAAAACATGTAAATACGTATATATAACGTCTGTGTTTAGTGAATAAATGCAAAAGCAGTATTGTGGGAGGTGAATGAGGGTGAGTGAGGTGGTGTTGAGGGAGGGAGTGGCAGTGAGTGGCTGGCTAGTGTGTGGCGGTCACTCCTCGTTGCTTTTTGACTCAAAATACCAACTTAGTGGTTCGTTATAGTGAACAAAACATGCAGATACTTATATATAACCTGTGCATATAGTGTAATAACAGCAAAACTATTTGTTTATTGTTTTATGAACATAATAATTGAATCACTAATATGTACACCATAATTTTGAGCACAGCGATGGTTCACACATTTTATAAATATATCACAATACACACTATTGAATAATATTACTGAAAAAAAAAAATCAATCAGACATTGAAATAATTAGGTAATAATATTTTTGTGGCAACTGATGCCTGACAGCTAGAGCGGAGTAGACCTCATCTAGCGACTGCTCTGTCAATGCCCCTTTTTTTGCCATATTTCCCTACCCTATTGAGGCTAAAATATTCCACCTACGATTTTTTTGTTATTTTTTCCATGATCAGGGAACCACAAATGAGTACTTTTATAAGACGAAAGAATTTTTTGGATTTTTTTTTTTTTTTGTTGCACCTGTGGGTATTGAAGCCATTATGACCCTCAGCGGCCCAAGAGTTAAGTGCATTACTTAGTATCAGTATACTTTAAGATCTTCAACTCCACTGTCGAGGATGGAAACTATAAGATCCTTGAACGAAGGGCAAGGTAATCGCAAATTATAGGAAGCCCCAAAGCCAGTATGACTTTAAAGTGGATTGGCTCACCATCATTATCATCTTGGGAGTTCTGCTCAGGATCATCATCGCTATCGGAATCATCCTCTTCATTGCCGAGGTCGTCGTCATCATCCTCATCATCAGGCTGCGGGTAACAAACAAGTACTTTAGGGTCAATATACTATATATAAAAGCACCATACTACAGCAGACACTCTTGTAGACTATAATGCGACTGAGAAAACTTTTGACTTAATTGGTAAAAGAAAATTTGATTAGTTTGATTACTAGATCTTGTGCATACTTCAAAGCAATACTATTTTCCCATGACACTACAAGAGATATAACTGAAAAATCCAGCATTGATTGTAATGTTACGTCTCTTTCTGGATGAGCCCTGGTGGCTCCCTCGAGCTACCTTGCCAATATGGCTCCATACTAATGGAAAGTTGTGTTTGACTACTAGTAACCAGAGCCAACCTGGCAACCACCCCCTCACAGAGGTACAAAGAGCAAGTCACAAATTTGCTACCACTCTAGGTAAGTATTCAGAAAGTCAATGAAGCTTTACACACAACGGGTAGGATAACAAAGACCTAAGCCTCAAAATCCCCAAACAACTCTGCAAACATTTCACACAGAACAAGAGAAATGTTCAAAATAAGCATGAAACTCATAAGGTAGTACTGAATGCCACCACTAGGTGGCCCGGCTTCCACACACAGCTATCTTCCTTCCTCGGTTTTGGAACTGAAGAGTCCACCGATGAACTGACTAATCTGGTAGGGAGGGAGGAGTCAGGGAGCCACTGGGACTCATCCAGAAAGAGGCTTTTCTTTACACTCAACATTGGGTTTCTGAGAGAACCCAAGTGGCTCCTTGAAGCTAACTAACCACAGATAACAAAACTGGGACTTACCAGGGAAGAGGAGAGGCAGTATGCACCAGTACAAAGAAGACAATCCAGACTGGGGAAACATGGCCCAATTCAACATGTGACTGACTGCAACCAGGGAACATTAACCAAATACCAGGCCACCAGAACCCTGTTACAATGCCAAAACCCCCAAGCTCAAGTATCAGCCCAGGACATGTCGGAAAAGACTGTGGTCAATGCAGTATACTTGCCAACATCATGGGTCCAAGGGTAGACTAAATGCCAACTACAGGTGTTGACTGCAGAGCAACCTGGAAAATATGAGCCTTGGAACAGGGAACGAACGAAACAGCATCAACAAACAAGGCGTCCAACGAAGCAGACCCGGTGACTCACAAGTAGTGGTGAAGAGTTGCCACTAGATACAAGTGATATACCAACCAAGCAGCAATAATCCACAACTCTCTTTCGAAAGCTAGCCAACACATTCCTCACTAGAAAATAAGAAGGTTGTAAACAAACCACCCACCAGGCACTGAGGAACAAAACCCCTGCCTCCAGAGCCTGAAGCTCTCCAACCCTACAGCTGGAGGCAAGAACCAACAAAAACACCAGCTTTAATATCGCAGATAGATATCGCAAGCCAAAGCGGAATTGTAAAACGAGGCAAGGAGAGGAAGACCAACATCTGGGCAAGAGACCAGATGTTGGTCTTCCAGAGACCAGGTCATGTGGAGCATAAGCTAGCTGGAGATGAAAAAGTGCACAAGTAACTTGTGGAGTGTTGTCGAGGAAGTGATGAAGCCAAATGCAAGCAACAGCAGCTCTGCCACCTGAGTGATAAAAGGCAACAAGATGACAGAAATAGCCTAAGCTACTCTATCCTTTTGAGATGTATCTTCTTGTCTTAATAAACTTGAATGAGTAAAAAGCAATGGTATTAGACGTAAGATGCAGATCTAGAAACAACCAAGACAAAAATGACAGGACAGTCTTGACCAAAACTGAAGGAAGATGACGAAGAGACAGAGTGGGAAAAGGAATGATAGACAATCTCATACTGCTACTGCCAAGAAAGACACAGGTGGTACACCAATAAATCAATTACCCACTCCCCATATAAATGGCGACATATGTCAAAAACTCTAGGCATATAGAACAAAAGCCAAATGAGCAAGGTACATCGATGGGCTGATCTGCTGAAAGACGTAGAGCTGCGGAAAAACGCCTGAATTTGGACACCGGAAACAAGGCTGACCACTGATCCTGGGCAGTCTGATGAACTGGAACACTGCCCACATCCCTGGGAAGTGTGGGAGCAAAAAGGTGGCCTCCGAGTGGAGTGTAAGAAGCGCCGTTCAAGAATATCTGAAAGACAGAATACACCTGCCAACCAAGCATGCAGGTCCAACAGCATCTGCTTGATGGGATTCTGGGGGCTCTACTCCCAAAGCCTAGCCCGAGGCCAGGCTTTACTTGTAAGAGCTTGGTCCAACAGGCTGATGCTTGGAGCGGTGTGCAGGCCCACACATCCACCACAGCCTGGTTGGTCCAGCACTTTTTGAAGAAAACTATCTAGTTTTCTCTTGAAGATGTCCATGGTTATTCCGGCAAGCCCTGTGAAGTCCCTAAGAAAATGAGGGGGATGTCAGCCAGCCAGGATAGATCTGGAACTTCAAATCACAGCCAATGAGCACAGAGACAGACCTGTACTAAAAAAAAAAAAAAAAGAGGCCAGATCCATGAATGAAGAGAAGTCTGAATTCCACAGAAGGTACCAAAACAAATGTGAACAAGTCCCTGAAGGGGGTATCTTGGGAAGATGGAAACCATCAGAAATACGTTGATTCTGAGGCACCGAATGTGACCCGAAACTGAACCCGAGGGCGAGCAGCTCAACGATCATGCTCATGCATGGAAGGAGTATATGAAAAGTTATCCCCCTGAAGAAAAGACCCTCTGGAGAGGGAACAAAAGTCCAAGAAGGATTGAAGGGCAGTCCTTGGGGAACCCCCTCAGCCCCAGAAGCCTGCCACAAAAGCTCTGGGGTGGAACCATAGTCCTTGCCCAACACCTGGGACAGAAAGGTGTCCTCCAAAGTAGAAGGCTCAGAGTGGTGCCTCTTCTATCAATATGGATATGGTTATCCCCTAATAAGGCAGAGGTACACCCCGAGCTAAACCCTGCCGTGACCATGAAACTCTTGGACCCTTTGCAGTCAGAAGCAAGGAAGGGAATATGAGAAGCAGAGCAAATCACATCTGCAGGGAAAGGAATAGGAGATGCAGACTTAGTCCTCGTAGAGATCAACATCTACAATTATGGGTCCCTAAACACTGTAGGGGCCATCTCCAGGGCATCCAACCTATCACATTGCTAATAATGCCTAACCCTATCAAACCTGGCTCTTGAAGCAGTAGCTGCCCGAAAAGCTTCTACAGTTGACGCTAAATCGATGTGAAGACCCAGAGGGAAAGAACTGCACAGGACTCAGGGTTGTAAGTATCACCGACATAACATGCAGCATGGCGGAGGCAGAAAGAATGACCATCGCCTGGTAGCAAAAATGATCTGATCAAAGCACCCTTCAAACTCGTACATTGTGAGTGTGGGCCCGACTGGCTGAACCAACCATGCCCAATCATGAGTGTGGGCCCTAGGGGATTACCCTGGCACTGAGGCCACTCACCAGAAGACAGATGCCAAGTGCAGTCGAAACAATCAGGCTTCATCTGGCATCTGTGGCATGTCATATAAACCAATATGTAAGCCCCTTTATGCCTCGGCACAACAACACAATGCCCCCAGTCAAGGGACCAAACAGCAGACTCAAAGACTCGTTAACTATGATCGCTAATAGCCCCAAGCAAGGCTCTCCATCTCAGCAGCCTGGCCTTTCAGGGGCACACGACCGAACACACCAAAGAAGATATCTAGGTCAATGCAGTGCTAGCAGGCACCCAGGGAAGGAACCCAAAGTTCATGCAGTCTGGAGCACATCAAAGCCAAGCCCACACAATAAGCTAAATACATAGCTTGTTATGTAGGCTTGGAAAGTTTGATAGGCACATAAAGCAAAAACTCAAATATAAAATGGTACAAAAGCAAATGGCCCCCATTTGAAGAAGTTCAAATGAAGTTCAAGGATGGCAGACACTTATATTGAAGCAGAGGGCTTGCCACATCTGAATGACCCAGAACATTACTGTCCAGTTGGACATCAGTAAATGAACAAGAAAGATGGCTTCGAATGGAAACCGGGCTGCCTGGTGGTGGCATTGAGTACCACAAGTTTCACACTAGTATTGAATGTTTTTCTTGTTTTGTGTGAATCTTTTGTGGAGTTGTTTGGCAATTTTGAGACTTGGGACTTTGTTATCCCTCCTGTTGCCTGGAAAGCTTCACTAACTTTTTGGAGGCTTTCCCAGTATAGTGGCAAATTGTCACTATATTCCTGCTCTCTTCATCTTTGTGGGGGACACTAGGTTTCCACTTTTGACTCTGGCCAAAGAAAACTATCACGGCAAATGTTATCTTGAGGTTATCTTGAGATGATTTCGGGGCTTAGCGTCCCCACGGCCCGGTCCTCGACCAGGCCTCCTTTTTGTTACACGCCCCCAGGAAGCAGCCCATAACAGCTGTCTAACTCCCAGGTACCTATTTACTGCTAGGTGAACAGATCTTTTTTGGGTGAAAAAAAAACTCTGCCCATTTGTTTCTGCCTCCACCGGGGATCGAACCCGGAACCTCAGGACTACGAATTCGAAGCACTGTCCACTCAGCTGTCAGGCCCCCTAATGAGATGCAATCCATTTACAAAGACCAATCTTAGGAAGATACCTTCAGGGAGCCACCGAGGGCTACTCCTGAAAAAACTACACGACTCATTATTAACTATGTAGCCACCAAATATGTTCACGATACCCACCAGCTCATCGTCATCTTGCCGGGTCATGCCAACCTCATACACTCTCACAACAGCATCATCTGTCAAATCATCTGTACCATTCTCTGTCTCGACCAATGCTATTTGTGTGTCGTTTCTGTTGATGGCCAATGAGCTTACCACCCGCCGAACATCAACTGTGGCTGTGGAAGATAAAATAATAATATAATACAAATGCTCACATTGAAGCCTTTTCATTTGTTATAATAAAATTTAAGGAATAAATCTGCAAAGGAAACTATCAATGTAAGGCAGGAAACTATCAATGTAAGGCAGCAATATCCAATCCTACTCAATATATCAGTCTAGAGGAAACACCGACAAGACATTCATTCATTTACGTTACCTAGAGTTCCCCTTGCATGGCATGGAAAGGCAACAACACAGAAAGGTACTGGGTACGACAGTAAATCGGAACTCTGTTATGTTGTACCTCGGAAAAGTTTGACAGAAGAACAGTGAAAGAAGGCACTGTACATGAATAATTAATTAAACGGAGCAACAGGTCAAGAATTGGAATTATGTAAAACAAGATGGAATAGAAGTAAAATGTATCAGTTAATCTTTAATTCTCAACCAGGCAAGTGAACATTGTAATTTTGAAGTATGAAGATGAACACAGAAATATAACCATGTTCATCATTGTTTGGTTCAAAACTAAAAACCATTCATTATACAGTGGTACCTCAGTTTACGAATTTAATCTGTTCCCAGAGACGGTTCGTAACCCAAAACGAATTTTCCCATAAGAATTAATGTAAATTGAATTAATCCGTTCCACACTCTCAAAAATATTACCTTCTTATCTTGAGGTTATCTTGAGTTCAAAATACATTTTATACATAATACCCACAAATATTTTGTACTATGGTATGTACAAGCTATAGCTTACCTTTATGGATGACACTTGTTGGCGTATGGAAAACGATGAGGAGGGGGGCGGGAGGGAGGAGGAGGAGGAGAGGTATTAGTGTATGGAAGAGGAGTCCCCTTCCATTACAACATCAGGCAGTGATGACTTCTCTGGGGTACACACACTCTCTCCTATGTTTTGCAGGCATACCACTAGGACCTGGTTGTGGCTCATTGCTTGTTTCTCTCATTAAGAACCATTCCATAGACTTCTTTCCCCCTAAATGTTAACACTTGTCTGTAGCAAGACATCACATTGTCATTATAAAGGTCAGTGCAACGGCCTGCTACAGCTTTATCTTGGGGAGTTTTTTTTTCAACAAAATTTTGCAGTTTTTCCCATACTTCACACATTTTCTTAACAAGGAAAGGACATCATCTACTACCTCTACTTACAACTATTTTCTTAGGTTGAACCTTACCACTGACTTTCTTGGGACCCATGGCGTGATATAATAATAATTACTTTTATGTTCAAAAAACAAAAAAGCACAAAAACAATTAAATTCTTTACAAAGAATTTAAGCGCGATCATCACTAAGCGGGCGATCTGGTAAACTGAAGCCAGGTCGCCCGTGCCACCAGGAACCACCTGCTCTGTCAACCCATACGTGTATCAACTAAGTCACAAGTCGAGGCAAAGGTCGTAACCAGATCCGAATTGTGCAACGAAATTGGGGTCATAACCCGAAAAATTCGTAAGTAGGGGCATTTGTAAGTCGAGCTTCCACTGTAATTGTAAAGTGTGCCAAATTTTTTTTTCCAATTGGAGTTTGGCTACAGAGAAAGATACAGGTCATAAACTTTTTAAACATACACAAATATTTGAAGCAGTGATTGAATATTAATATGCATCCTCACTGAACACTTTGATATTTTCTTCTCCTACCACCCCTATTCTTTTGATATATATATATTTATTTATTTATTTATTTATTTATATATTTATTTATTTATAAACACTCCCTAACTGAATTCTTTTCCTAGTTAGAGGCAAATGGAACACTGTGGACTAATACACTACAAAAATCACAAGAAGCGCAATTTTACCTTAAATATCACAGGCAAGCCTGATGTTCAGCCTGGCCTCCTGGAGGTAGATGTTGACCCTACTGATGCCCACTCTACAATGACTGTTTTCCTCTCCTCTTCACCGAGAGGTTGACCCATGCCTACTGACTGCCCCCACCAGTAAACAAGAGGCTTACAAAATTCACTCATGTACTGGTCACTGAAGGTGAGCGAGTTCTTATTAAAACTGATGGCACGTATAGAGATACTTGAGCAGGGTTGATTAATAATTACAGTACTGAATCATACTTGAATTTCTCTGATTTACGTGACTTAAAATACAAATGCTAGGTACTTATTTTTCTTTGACTGGGATGAGTCAGGCATCTCTATCCTGACAAATTAGTTCTCATCCAAGGTGACTCATCTACACTTGGCAGAATATGATTAGTTGACTCTTTACTCTACACCATAGCCTGTGCTACTTGGAACTCTTTGTTCCAGGTAGCAAATCTTAAACAACAACAACTTTACTCTAAATGATGTTAAATTACCATAAGTACTTAAGAAAGAATGATTATTACTACAATTAGTGTTATTATTGAATTCTTTTACATTGATGAAGTAACAGAAAAGGGAGATGCAGCCATTTTGTCTATACCCTCCCCCCGCTAATCCCTTAATCCTTGAGGAGTAACCTTCTCTGGAACCCAGGACAAAAGAACCATTTTCCTGCAAGCTTTTCATAGAAAGTATATCCCACACTTTAGTAAAGGCTATAGCCTTCTAAAACAGTCTAGACTGTTACATGGCTTACACAGTCAACAGAAGCTTCCTTAAGATAAAAACAAATTTCAATGGTCTATACTGGAAGTGGTCAACATGATAATGCATCAAAATCCCAAAACATAAAAAAGAAATCATATATGGAGTAATATATTACCTATACTGGAGTAATCTGCTGCATCTACAGTCTTGAACGAAGTCTCAAAGGCATTCTCTTGAAACTCGTCAAGCTGATCGCCCACCGTGATGCCAAAAATAACGTCATTGGTATGGTTGAAGACAATATCACAGAGATTGAGCACTGGCACTGTTCTTAATAGGTGAAATGTTCTTAGATCCCAAATCTCTGACGAGCTAATGATTTCTAGGCCATTGCGATGGAAGACACCATTCAATATTGGGTTAATCTTGTCAAACTTGTGGATCTGTCAAAACAGTCAAATGTTTAGGTTACTTTAAATCATACAAGCACTAAAATAATTACCGATGACAAATAAAATTAATGAAATTAATAATAAATTTATTGTCATATAATACAAAAACAAATCACCTAAAAAAATATAAGTAAACCTCATTAACATTGATCTGATTAAAATACAGTACTGTACATAAAAATTATATAATATTGTACATAAAATCCAATTTTGGTACATATTGTACCAAAATCCACAGGAGTCGTGATGAGGGTTTGAACCTATGCACAGGGTGTTCCCAGGCACACACTCTGGACAACTAGGCTACGACATGGTCAAAAGGATTCCAACCAGGGGTACTACTGCACCCTCTAGGACTCCCGAGGCTTCCACTGAAGCCGAACCAGAGTTTCACACAATCCCCCTCATGCACTCTGGCTCTGTCATCTAGGAATGTTCTACCTCTGGTGCTCCTCTTTCAATACACAGTAATCCACTACAGTGGTACCTCAGATTACGAATTTAATCCGTTATCAGAGACGGTTCGTAAGCCAAAAATTCATAAACCGAAGCGAATTTCCCATAAGAAATAAATGTAAATTGAATTAACCCTTGTGTTGCTAAGGGCTAATTAGCCTTTATCACCCACAGGTGCATACCAAATAAAGAAAAAAGAAAAAAATTCTTCCTAACCAGTTGTGTTCCCTGACCACAAGAAAAAAAAAAAAAATTCTTACTAATGACGTAATTGTGCCGACAATATGAGCGATGACGTGACAGCCTGCATGTTCGATCATGCAAAGTGCGTCCCATAGGCGTCGCACGTGATCTTCAAGCAGCCAGAGTTGCCACAAATTTATTTTCGCGGCATTATTTACAGTGTCTAGGCATATTTTATCACTAATATTATTCACAAATTGTGTTGCATATAATGTTACATCATGGCCAATGGCAATAAATATGGCATACATCGAGTATACACATGCACACACAAATGTTTTCCATTACGCAAATATAATATGTATTCACGTTGTTCATTATTATATTTACACACATGCACGCACTATTTACAGGTTTTTGCACAATTATTGCGCATTTAAAAGTATTGGAGAGAGTGGTAGTCGTTGAAGCAGTTGACAGCACACAAAGGGACTGCACACGCTTCACACCATGTTTGCACAAGTTTAAATTTCTGATCTCTCCTTTTTGTTGTTTTACAAACTAAGCGATCACGTTGGCCTATTGCACGCTTTCCAGCTGGTGGCAAATGTTTTAGTCTGTGTGCGTGAAAGGGCTCCATGTGAGGGAGCCTGGGTGTAGCAGCATGCTGCAACACTGGGTTCATGATGGGTCTTTGTATGCCAGGAACATCTTTGCCAAACTTTGCTAATAACTGTGTCCCAAGTGTAAAAGCAAACGAATGAAAACTTGGTTTACATCCAGTTTTTACCAAATACATATTGTAGCAGTTCAGCATGCTCATGTCAACAAGATGAAAAACACTTTTTTCGTCCACTTCAATGTTTTCCGCACACACTCGACAGTGCCCACCATCATGTCAGATTTATCAACCAAACACATGTTGATATTATAGTCAAGAACACAATCTGGCTTATATACTTGGTTCACCTTGCCACTGTTCACCATTGTACCATCATGAACGGTTGTCAGCAAATTCACTTCTCTCTTGTCTTTCCACTTTAATGAGAGTATTTGATCACATTTTCTTAGCTTGCAGTCAACAACTTCAAGTTTATTGTCAAACACTGGCATTTCCCTTCTTCTTGGCTTTACTGTGCCAACCAATGCAGTTCTATTTTCAATCAAAAACCTAGCAAGCAAGGGACTTGTATAGTAGTTATCCGTGTACAAAATGTGGCCCTTGTTCATCCATGGTGCCATCAGTGACTTCACCACTCTACCTGAGAAACCATGTTGGTCGTTACCGGGAATGTCTACATCGCTAGCAGAATACACAATCATGTGTAACATGTAACCTGTTTCACAGTCACAAAGAACAAAGAATTTCAATCCAAATCTGTTGCGTTTGGAGGGAATATACTGCTTGAAGGCAACACGTCCTTTGAAAAGCACAAGGGATTCGTCATCACCAGCTTCTGTGCCAGTACGTAGAATCTCTGAACTTTCCAATCACTTCATTCATATAGTGCCTGACTCACCAAAGTCTATCATCCCCTGTCCGGTCTTCATTACTTGCAAAGTGTAGACAATTGAAGATCTGAAACCTGTCTCGGGACATATATTTCCCGAAGAAAGATGTTGGAATAGTCTAGTCTTTGCTCCAATAATCAGTGATAGCGTGTTTGATACAATGTTTCATCACATACAAATTGCTAAAAATACAAACATTTCACCTACAGTGGTGTTTTTCCAACACTACAATTGTGAATATTCTGTTACCTCTTTTCCAAAGAGATGAGCTCTTTTTTTCCAAAGAGATGAGCCACATGAAGGAAGTGTGGCACACCGTGGACCAGGAGCTGAAGCCAGTCTATGCAAAGTACGGCCTCTACGTGAACGTTAGGTGATATCACGTGAACATGAAGGTCTTGGTTACTCATGTGGTGCCATGCGGTGGCGCTTGGCTGGGCGAGACCCTGCTGACGCAACAAATTCTCGCCCGGTAACACCACTGGTATTAGCAACAGGTGCAGTAACACTATGCTCTGAATCCACTTCACTAAATCCAGAAAATGAGTCACCTTCCTCTGACTCATCGCCCAAAATATCCTCATACTTTAAATAAACACAAGAACTGTGTGGTCGTAGGTGAATTGGAGTAGACACTGGGCGAGGTGGCACGGGTGAGCGTGTAGGCCTCACCATGGGAGGAGGCTGTATCTCGTTTTCACTGTCTGTGCTACTATTATCGGTCAATTGTATGTAGTCCTTATCATTGTCAGAGTCATCAAAATCACTTTCCTCACCATCAGAAAATAATTCACTAGTTATTTGCTCTTGGGTAAGTGATTGCATGGTGAGTGCCCGGGAGGCGTTTGGCAGTGTGCTTGCTATGGTGACCGCTGGATAACTGGGGCTTCCCACGCGTTGGTAGCATGAACTGGATTTTTTTTTACAAAATGGTGGCTGTTTACTATAGCCCATGGGCAGCGTATGGGGGCCCCCCCCTACCCTGCTGGTCATTCAATTCTTGTGCAGTACTCCATCAAGTCATATGACGTGATGTGCAATTTATAGCAAGTTAATCAACACGTTATATGATGTGTTGCGCAGTTTAACCCTTAAACTGCGCATGGCGCATATATATGCCATGAGTAACATGTCTCACGGTGCTCATAGGGTGCCAGGCACGATTCAAATGGCCCGCGGCTACATTAACTTTAGGGGTTTACATTAGCTTCCTCAGGGCTCTTGTAAACAGACTCCATTTTTTTTTTTGAATCGTGGGCAATATTCTCCGGTGTGAGAGCCACAGTACTGTTGGAGCAACCAAGGTTGGCGCACGCAGCATGAGTGAACAGCATTGCTGTTCAGCTTGTGACTACAGCATCGCCTAAAAATGTCAAAATAAATATATAACTGCTGTTATTTAGCGATGACAATATTACAGATGACCCATGACTGTGATAAAAATGACCAGGATTGTGATAATAGCAAGATTGTTGTGATAATTAGCGCTGTGGGAGGAGTGATGCTGAGGGACGGAGGGAGATAGCATCGTTTACTGACTGTGTGGCCACCTGTTATTGTCTGCATTCACCATACCAGCTCAATGCTTCTCTATGGTGAACACAAATGTAGATACTTATTTACAATGCGTGTATTAGTGTAATAACAGCAAAAGAATTATGTTGGGAGGAGCCATTTGGGTGACGGAGGTGACATCGTCTGCATGACTTGTCTAGCTGTGTAGAGGGTGGCCACTATGCTCTTTGGGCACCCTACAAGCTTAGGTGCACAGTTACGGTGCATACAACATGTAGATACTTATATATAATATGTGTACAGTATATAGTGTAGTAACACTGCTAACAGTATTGTTGGGGGAGAAATTTAGGACGTGTGACCTTGAAAGTGTGAGGGAGGTAGCCGCCAGCTGACTGTGTGTAGTGACGTCTCTTAGTCCCTGAACTAACTATTTCAGCTTAGTTGTACAGTTGTGTTGAACAAAACATATAGATACTTATATATAACATCTGTATATAGTGTAATAACACCACAAACGGTATTGTTGAGGGAGAAATTTTAGTGCGTGTGAACTTGAATGAGTGCGGGAGGCAGCCGCCAGCTGACTCTGTGTAGCGACGTCTCTTAGTGCCTGAACTAACTTTTTCAGCTTAGTTGTACAGTTGTGTTGAACAAAACATGTAATACTTATATATAACATCTGTATATAGTGAATAAAATATAAAACAGGATGGTGGGAGGAGAAAGTGGGCAAGTGAAGCGTTGTTGAGGGAGTGGCAACGAGTGGCTGGCTGTGTGACGGTCACTCCTCGTTGCTTTTCGACTCACAATACCAACTTAGTGGTTCGTTATAGTGACAAAACATGCAGATACTTATATATAACCTGTGTATAGAGTGTAATAACAACAAAACTATTTGTTTATTGTTTTATGAACAAAATTGAATCACTAACATGCACACCATACTTTTGAGTATAGTGACGATTCACCCCTTTTTATTATATAAATATATCACAATACACATTATTGAATAATATTATTGCAAAAAGACTAAGAAAAAATCAGACATTGAAATAATTAGGTAATTATATATTTGTGGCAATTCCCACCAGCTCGGGTGATGCTGACCGGCTCTCACAACCGCTCTGTCAACGCCCACATTTTGCCAGACTTCCTTGGCCTATTGCGCCCAAAATATGTCACCTACGATTTATTTTTTATTTTTCTCGTGCTCAGGGAACACAAATTAACATTTTTAGAAGATGAAATAATTTTTTAGAATTTTTTTTTCTTGTGCACAGGGGTGTAAATCTCCTCAGGACCTCTTAGCAGCTTAAGGGTTAAGGGTTAATCCGTTCCACTCTCCAAAAAATTAATTTCAAAGTAAATTTTATACCTCATTCACCCAAATCTTTAGTACTAAAGTATGTACAAGTTATTACTTACCTTTATTAATGACTCTTGTTGGCGTATGGAAGACGGTGAGGAAGGGGGGAGGGGATGAGAAGAGGTGCTAGTGTTTGGAAGAGGAGTCCCCTTCCATTATAACATCAGGCAGTGAGGACTTCTCTGGAATACACTCTCTGGTATGTTTTGCCTGCATACCACTAGGACCTGCTTGTGGCTCACTGCTTGTTTTCTCACTAAAAATTTATCCAGAGGCTTGTTTTTCCCTATGTTGTAACACTTGTCTGGAGCGAGGCATCACAGTGTCATTAAAAAGGTTAGGGCAACGGCCTACTACAGCATGCTCTTGGCAAGTCATTTCAACAAAAGTTTGCATTTCTTCCCAATCTACACCACTTCCTAATTGTTGAGGAAGGGACATTCTGTACCGTCTCCTCCTCCCCTGAAGACATTTTCTTAGCTGCCTCTTGTTGCTGCTCATTGTGAAAGGTTTGGAGTTCTTCAGTGGTCAGTTCTTCGCTGTGTTCCTCCTCCAACTCACAACACTATGAATGCCACTTCTTTTTCTAAATTTCTCAAACCATCATCTGCTTGCCTTAAACCATTTCGTATTTGCATCATTTGTTCCAGGGGTTTATTTAAAACGTCATCATGCAATTGCCTTGCTTTCTCACAAATGATGGCCTCTTGAAATGCTATCACCTAACTCCTTGTGTATCCAAATTAATAGCTTTTCAACATCATCAAGTGTTTGAGTTCTTTGTTTCGTGATTGTTAATATGCCTTTTGCCACTTTAGCACTCATAATGTCCTTTTTCTTAGCAATTAGTGAATATCGTTGACATAGTTTGTTGTACTGCCTAGCTAGTTCAACAACTCGTGTACCATTTTCATATTTATGAATGATCTCTTTGTTTTTCCTCTATGGTCATTTTCACATGTGTTTTCTTGGCGTGAACCTTACCACTGGCTTTCTTGGTACGCTAGGTTGGCCATACTCGTATCAACGAACTTTGTTTCCCGAGGCAAAGTTCATAACCAGATTTGAATTTTACGAAGAAATTGGGCTGTAACCCAAAATGTTCGTAAAGAAGGGCATTCATCAGCTGAGGTGTCCCTGTATTGTGATGCATCAATGAAAAAATCCGTTTGAGCCGTGATGAGGGTTCGAAGCTATGCACTGGGTGTTCCCAGGCACATGCTCTAGACAACTAGGCCTCAACATGATCAGGTTTTTCTGATAACTTCATTCATTGGTATCAATATTGCCTGTAGTTGTCTGCATTTCCATTACATCATAACTGATCTTGCACTTGTTCCGCAATGACTTGTATCAGCACTCTGACACATACCGAACACCTCCCAGAATCTTATGTAAAGTTGGCAATTTCTTCTCAGACCTCCTTACCTCAGGTAAGGAGGTCTGAGAAGAGCAGTTATCAAATGACACCTCTATGTTGTACCTGTTTATGAAAATCACAGACTTATTTTATGTATCAACACAGTGTCAAAGACCGCTATGGTTCGGGTATGTCAAACACAATTAGGGTTTACATACCTGCTTACCAGTGCGTACGTCAAACAACACGCCATCAGTAAGAATGAGATCATCAGTGGGATCCAAAACAGCCTTGTTAATGTTGTAATGGTTGGATAATTTGGGCGTAAACTCGCTCACAACTTGACTCGTGTTGAGGTCGTAAAGCTGGTGGAAAAGCCAAAGTTAACATGAAACCAAGCACACATTCTAGGAGTGCACTTCATGAATACACTATAAGAAATGCCAACTGTGGCAGCCATCACAAACAGTATTACTAACACTATACAGTAGTTAACATGCTCCCTCAATATACCACAAACACCAACATGAACAAATCCACAAGGGCCGTCGCGAGGATTCGATGTGGGATGCTCCCGGACGCAGGTTCGAATCCTCATCACGGCCCTTGTGGATTTGTTCATTTGATGCATCACGTTATTGTGATCTCTGTGTGTGTCACAAACACCAAGTTTTAAAGATTCATGACAAATGGTCCACATTTGTCATGAATCATTAACGCACATTCATTAAATCATTAACGCACATTCATTAAATCATTAACGCACATTAATTAATCATTAACACACATTAATTGTGCGTTGCATCTAATTGGAGGAAGACAAAAGAATTGAAAGACATAATAAAGACGAATGATGAAAGAGAGAATTGAGTATATTAAAACTCCTTTCTGAGCAACAGCCTTACAGCTCCTCTCTGTCCCAGACACAAGAAGGATATTGTGAACACACAAGTCTCCTGGTAACTTTCTTGACTCACTGGAGACAAGTGCTTCTGCAATTTGTCTTGCTGCCTCTGCAACACGAGGTGCGAGTGAAAATTAGAGATACTGAATGAAACACCCATTAAAATACAGTACTGTGAGGCATCAAAACTTTCAAGAGTCAGGGGGGGGGGAAGGTATAAGCCAAAACACCACCAATACATTACCCATGACTACCACCATGCAATCCTTGCTGCCATGGGCAAGATGATATACAAATTTGGAATAGGAAGCCTTAAAGATGCTGCCCACAAAGTAGCAAATTTGTCAATGGAACTGATAGAGCGCACTCCTATAGACCTCGGGCACTGCCAGGGGATCCAAGGCACTCGCCAGAAAATCAGGTACCTCCCTGGTGATCTTAGACATGAGCCTGGACATTCGAGATGAAGCAAGATACCCACGTCATGATCCTGAGGCACTCGAGACCAGCGACCTGTGACACTGGCCTGGAGTGCCGGGTACATCTACTAAGACCCGGATGGACTCACCAGATGACCCGGGGTCTCAACTGAATGGGGACGTAATCACAACCCAACCAGCAGAGAATACGGTAAATAAACCCTCAGAAGCATGGCAAATGGAATTTTCATGCAGAATGAAACTTTGACCAGACCCATCTACAAGCCAGTAACCAAAGGAATGACAATGGTGACAATGGTGACAAGGTGCACCAAGGAACACCCAGGAAAGTGGACTGTAGCTGAATCAGGCTTTGCACTAACCTAGGGATCCATTCCATCCTTCACATAAGTGGGGGAGAAGGTTTACAAACATGCTTGATGTTGAGGAACTTATAATTCTGCTCGATACTACTACAGTTGGAACAAATTGATTGGCACAACAGCAACGGGTAACTCGAGCCATCACCTGGTAGTTATAAGGGAATTAACTGTATCTAAATTTGTTTAAGGAGGTATGGGTTTTATGATTTTCCTAGATTTCAAGTGATTCATCTACTCAGTGATCCCTATGAGTTTCCTACCACAGGTAGGGAAGAAGACAGCTGAAAAAGGTACTCGTCTTCAGTGTGTGAAAAGTTTTCAAGAGCCTATCATGGTCAATGTCCTATCCATTCCAGTGCGGGGAGCTACTGTGGGATGCAAACCCAGAAAGAAGCCATTTGTTGCAGTTAAATTATGCTCATGGACTGATGTGTCTCACACAGTGATAGCACAATATACACATTTTCCCTGTTTACGTGATAATACAAAAAAATTTAAACCACAAGTAATACTCTTAAGGTCATAGTCAGCTTTCGATGCCTGAGTTACCATGCATGATCTGGGGCTTAGTAACAAATACTACAAAATGTTTTCACCATGAATATATATACATTATAACAAAATAATAATGTTGTCTAGCAATAACTATTATTATGTCAAAGCCCTTGTGAAGTTTGGAACAAACCATTATTGATCAATGAGATACAATAGTGTATGATGTTGTTGTTGTTTAAGATTTGCTACCAGGAACAAAAAGTTCCAAGCAGCACGGGCCATGGTGAGCCCGTAGTGGACTTTACTGTTGCAATAGTGTACTTACTTTGGCTGTCTGTTCACTCGTGCCGATAATCTTATCTTGAGCATTACTAAAATCGGCATGCTGGCATTCATGTAACGTAAACCTGTTAAAAAAATAATAATTTTAAGTTCAAATTATAGATTAAAATTAGCATTTTAAAAATATGTCTTAAGTACAGTAGGTTGAAAAGGATAATAAAAAGCACAAACTGAAGTAACACATCCATTAACCCAAACTTAGAAAAAGCATTAGAGTTACATCAAGAGATTTCATTAACTGGTTTACAAAATATTTTTAGTGTTGAAATTTAGAGCTACGATTATAAAGTTAATATAAAATTTTCCCAAAACATTTGTTGCATACAAGTTGCTTTTTCGAGGTTTGAAAGTTGGGGATCGTGGTCAAATCATACAGATGATGATTCGATGAAGTTCACTTTCCAATTGTCAAAACTGTATTTAATGTTGGGTTGGAGTTGGGTTAGAAATCCACCCACTAGGGAAGTGTCTTGTGTACTATTTGACTTGTATTCCATAAGCATACCGCTCATTTATAGTACAGTAGTGTAAGTACATAATCCTCCGTCTCAATCTGTGCAATGATACCACAATGGTAACCTACAGAACTTAGGTATTTTTAAACATTAGCATTCCTTCATCTTATGACACATCCCGCAACCATGCCACTCATCTTCAAGTCCTAAATAACTTTTCTCCTCCTCCTCCTCACCATGTTGAAATATCAACAGTATAAAAGCATAAAGCTGATTTACACCAAAATCAAAATACCAAAAGCCACATACTTCTCATCAAAGAGGTCGGTGATACTCCAGAGAGATGTTTCATGGACGCCGGTGCAGGAGGTAAGTAGTAGAGAGCCGGAGCTGTGCGGTACTAACGTGGACACCGCTCCCTGATGGACAGTGTACACTCCTTCCTCCTGCAACACCCACATCAAAGCTCATTAAATCTCAAATTTGTTTATCCCATTCAAGTTCACAACAGAGTAGGGAATAGGATAATACATCATATAAACACATTACGTCAGCATTGGCTTCAAATTACAGAAAGTCTTATAATACTGTGTATAAACCCACTCTTTTTAAAGACCATTGCTTACTTTTATCTAATTCAGCTAAGAAATATGATGCCAGTATTACACTTATTGCACTCCTAAAGTATCACTTAAACAAGTCTTCATTACAGTTATGAGCAGAAAATTATAGACTTGTCCCCCTTCTCTGCATAATCTTAATGTCTTCCTCTCTATCTGTACTAATGATGACAAATTGGTCACTTGAAATTCAATACTTACACTCCCGCCTTTACTAAATAATCTCACTTCTCCTCTGGTCGTTCCAACGATAATGAACTGGTCATCTGGCTGAAAGAGAACAAAATAAATAAATAATTTTCCACATGAAGCAGTTCTTTGAAGAATACTGTACAAGGATAAACTGCGGTAAGGTGTAGCACATTGCTAGTATAACATTTGCCATCATAATGAGGTCATTCGCTGCCGCCACAACCACATTACATTGGCTCAAATCCTATAGGATGAGTCAAAATGGAGGGAATAGGGCTCCAAGCCCAATAGAACTATAGGCCAAACCTGCAGAAGGTGGAACACATTTACAGTTATCTCCTTTCCTCTGGACAGGAGTTTCACGAGGTACATTCACCCGAACGTCTTGAGTGTGCATTAGTGCTTAGTGCCTTTTCTCTTTGGTTATGCGATTCATTCTTATCCGTTACTTTGTATGCTTCTCTCATTGCCCAAGTGTTGGTAATCGGGGTGTTCCGCTAAAAACACTTTCCCAAGCACCTGGCATTGTCTGTCCATTGTTAACAGACCAGACTGCCAGTTTCTGTGCATTTGGGAGTATGTTTACCTCATTTCTATACTGTTTGGGTTGCATTGGACCACCCACCCAATTTCAAACAAGATCTTCAAAATGTGATTTGGTATTTATGGACTCCAATAGTCTTTTATGTTGCTTCTGACATTGTCTGTTGAGTTCAAGATATTCTCAATTGAAGGATGTGCGAGACATTGTCACTTTAGCCGATCTTCTTTCTTGGGAGATGGTCCTATCAGGCTGCAGATTCCATGTGAGACTACATATTTTGGTACACACTTTTTGCAGTTCTTAGCTGTTGCTTGTCCAGAGGAATGGGACATCTCCCCCCTCCCCCCCTCCTTTTTATGCAGAGTAGTTTGAGTGTCAGATCCTCTTGACTTGCTAAATTCACAGCTTCCCCCTTCTGATTCTCTTATATAACCAGCAGCTTTTTGAAGTGTAGGTACTGTAATGTTTCCAGACAAAGCATGGAGAAATATATACACATCTTGTCTAACTCACTCTACAGTGCAAAAATGTGATTAAACTCATAGCTAGCTAGAAATTGAGAAAATGAGTGTGTATGTTTTCTATTCAGTACTTTATTCAATATTTCTTTGAATATTTGTATTCAAAACTTTCTTGGGAAGCCCCAATCTTTTGTAATTTTTTTATCAATACAGTATAACAATTTACAAACTTTGTAAACTTACTGTAAATTCACAGCAGAGGAAAATGTCGTCGTCTGTTGATCTATAAGTTTGCATAGGTCGATATCTACTGTAGATAAACTTTCGATTATTACAAGAGCCTTCGAGGCCGGTGAATGGCACATTGTACGATCTCCTGGCATACCGCATGGTGAAGTTCGTAGGTGGAGCTCGCAGCGATTTAGGCTCGGGACACCTGTGTGGTCTGCAAAATATAAGTTGGCTTTATTTTTTAATATTTTTAATGTCAATAGATCTTGCTCTAAAGTATATCTCAAAGAAATTACTGATAAGTTTATAAATAAAATACAAGGCTTGGGTACATATAGAAAGTACATTTCCGAGTAATACAATCGGTTGTTTCTAAGGTATGACATAACTGGCTTCTGATACAGTCACAGCAGGTCAACAGTCCACAATGGCCTAGCAGGCAACTTTTCAAATTGTACCTACTGGGTCATACTGGTGCTTGGGAGACAGGAAAATACTCAAGAACATGAGAATAAAGGAAACTGTTGAAGGCCTATTGGTCCATACAAGGAAGCACCTGCAGGCGATGAGTCACAATAACGTGGCTGAAGAATGTTGACCAGACCACACACTAGAAGGTGAAGGGACGACGACGTTTCGGTCCATCCTGGACCATTCTCAAGTCTATTGTGACGAGGAAGTTGATGCAGGCAATAAATAGGCAAGAGAGATGTGAGGAGCAAGGCAAAAGGTACAAACTGTAAGGTGTAGTAGAGGGGATAGTAGTAGGAATAAGAACTGCAGAAGGCCCAATAGCCCACATGAGGCAGCTCCTATTATAATCACCGAATGAGAATGAGAAAGTAATAGGAATAAGAGGAGGATAACAAGGGAACGTAAGAGAAAACAATGAACAAAAAAAGAGAAGAGAGAAAGAAAAGGAAAGAGAAAGAAAGATAAATGGAAAGGGTAAGCTTATGTAAGGTCACGTTTGTTAGAAAGATTACAGCATTTGAGTATATACTGTGAAAGGGAAGAGTCAACAGCAACAAAGCCAGGACTAAAGTTCATTTTGGGTACGTTTGGTACTTCAAGATACGACTTATTAATGGTCCAGGACGAACTGAAACATCGTCGTTTCTTCCTTATCTGGTGTGTGGTTTGATCACATCTTCAGCCACGTTATTGTGACTCTTCGTCTGCACAGAAGAGACATGGAAGGAAGAGAGGGAAAGAGTGGGGGCAACCAAATACTGTATACTTGTCAGACATAAGCATCTATTGGCCTATGAAAAGCAACTCCTATTTAAGCTAACCCAGAATAAAGACAAAGTGGGTAACATAAAACTCCAAAATCTTTCCATGTATAACATGGCATTAAAGAGCTCCCAAGCTGTGCCCTTAACCACTATATGGCACTCAAGGTCAGGTACTACCCTGCCTGCCACCAGTAAGCAGCACCAACACTACTACAAAGTCCTCGAAGTAGATACAGTTACCAGAACCACAGGCTATAGAAAAACCATGGTCAAGCACATACCAGAAGATAAAGAAACAACAACGTTTCAGTCCATCCTGGACCATTATCTAGTCGTATCCATTATCAAGATACGACTTGATAATGGTCCAGGACGGACAGAAACATCGTCGTTTCTTCCTCATCTGGTGTCTGGTTTGATCGCATCTTCAGCCACGTTATTGTGACTCTTCGTCTGCACAGCTGAGACATGGAAGGAAGAGTGGGAAAGAGTGGGGGGCAACCAAATACTGTATACTTGTCAGACATAAGCTTTTTGTATAAACTCCAAACCTGATTTCTAAACTATCTAAGGCAAGCTGAGTAACTGGGCTTCCGAGAGGTGCAAGCAGAAACTGCAGGTGAAGTAGTAACAGGAGGAATGGCAGTTCCTTCACCAAGCACCCAACCTTGCCACACAATGGAAGAATCGTCATGAAGAAAGCATGGTGAAGGCTACAAAATGGCCTCCCGAACTGAAAAAAAAGTTACGAGGAGAGACTAGAGGTGTCAAACATGCCAAAACTAGAAGAAAGAGGTGTGATATGATCACCACTTACAAAATACTAACAGGAATAGACCAAATTGACAAAGAGGAATTCCTGAAACTAGCAACTTCACAAAGACACAGATTCAAACTAAGGAAACAGGTGCCGAAATAATATTAGACAATTTTCTTTTGCAAACAGTAGTAGACGGTTGAACAAACTAAGTGAGAAGGTGGTGGTGGTCAAAACTGTCAGTAGTCTCAAAGCATTATATGACATTAAGGATTTGACTTACGATTTATAAAATCTGTTTTTGAATCGCAATTAGGTCAAAACATGAAATAAGAGGTTTATAATAGATTTGTATGATTTCACAGAAATAGATAGCTAATTCTGGGACACTTTTCATCATATTAAATTAATCATTAGAGGAGACTCACCATTGCTGAAAAGCACAGAGCAGCCAGGAGCAGAGAGGATAACTGACCACTAATCAGCTAACTTCCAGTGCCATTGATATAGCATATACTGCACAAACAAAACACTTCTATGGAATAACAAACCACTCGATTGATAGCTCTCATCTTCATCTGCCCATACAAGTTACAAATGAGGCCAGTCAGGACAGAATGTGATGAGGTTGACTGGAGGATCTATCAACCTGATCAACCAGGCAGCAATTCATAAGTCAGGCTACAAGCAGTCGTGTCCAACAGCCTGGGAGACCTGATCGGAGACCGGGCTACGGGGCCGTTGATCCCCAGAAGCTACACAGGGTAGACAGGTAGGATATTGTTGTGATGCCATTCAATAATTAGCTAGGGGTGGTTGATGCACTCACTTGTCTGCATTCTGGGGTGGACCCTGCAATCTCTAATGTGTCTAACACTAGTGTGACTCAGCGGAGACAGCTTGAAAAGTTTGTCACCGCATCGGCACAGAATGTTGACCTGCCAGCTACTACCTAGTGGTCGCTGGATATAACCTTAGCGAGCATTTGAGTATGACGACTAAGAATATACTACTGATACAGTTAAGTTTAGATAGTAGTTTTGAGACAATTTCTTAATACTGTACTGAAGAGATACTGAAATGATGAGAGTACTTACTGGAAGAGGTCAAAAGTTGGACAGGTAACAACTGGGTTCTTGCAGAGGGCGTGCTGATTAATCAGATATTCCGTAACAATTCTATCCAAACTTATAGTGGGCTCACTGAGCAGGGCTGTATTCGTCACGAGGGGTAGTGACATGGCAGAATTCCCTATGCTTCCTATATTTCCTTGACTACAATTACAGCTATTACAAATCATTTCACTTTTGCTGAAGTTGAATAAAGTGCTATTGTTTGTCAAGGCAGTACCTCGGCTATCTCTTTTGCTACCTCTGAAAAAAGGAAAACAGACGACTTTTAGAACACGTGTAAAGATTGTAGAGAAGAATAATACCTCCTCTAGTTAGAATAGGGACTTACAGCCTCAAAGACAAAAAAAATTTAGATGATTTTATGAGTATCCATCAATGCAAATTTATATTCCCTTCTCCTACTATCCCCCAACATCCCATTTTTTTTGTCTAGATTCCAAATCTATGGAGCATCTTTTGTATTTGTGGCAAGTTGCTAACAAAATAAGTTAATATTTAGGTTAAAATGTTAATAAGACTGGCATTCTCTAAAATAAAACTGGCACTCCCATCCAGTACCCATGACTGCAAGCTCTGGACAAAAATTAGTCAACGGCATTATTCTGACCCATCCTAGCAACCTGCATTGAAATTATAAGTAGAGCACTTTAGCTTCCTAAAATACAGACACTCGAACAATTCATAAAACAAGGGTGTTCACGTATTATATTTACCTGTTAATTTTAATGTGTAAGGGTCCTGGACTAGATGTGTTGGCAAGAGTTGATGGACTGGCCACTGGTGGAGGGGAAGGGGAAGGTGTGGTTGCCGAGGTAATGCCAGCTAAGGTGCCACTGTTTGCAGGAGACGAACCTTTGCAGAGAGTTGCCGCAAACAGGTGACGAGAGCTACTGCCAGATAAGAGGCGATGCTGCATCAAGAGGGAAATCATTTTATTAAAGCAAGAATATGATAATTGCCGAATAGAATATGGAACACACAAACCCGCATTGAAAATGTTTATCACAGCTTACTCAATGGACGTTCCAAATTATAGACACTGAGTTCCCTGAACTTTCATTGCCACCCATGTGTTACCAGTCTTTTTCTTAAGATAATATGATAATACTCAAGGTGTTCTTCAGACATGAGAAACACAACCAGCTGATAACCTATGGAAGACGTGCATTAATGAGAGAGCAGACTTGCCACATGTGTAAAGGAGAAAGAAGGTATTAATCTCCTTTTCTATTTGTAGAAGAAATATAATTTATGTAGTCCTAGAATCTACGTATTATACCTCTAGCACTAGTGTATCATATGACGAAACAAGATTGCCTCGGAAAAAAAGCAGGTGCTCACTGCTCTGACAGATGGCGGAGGAGTGACCATATTCCTGGTAGGTGGTCCCATAGAGGTGTGGGGTACAGAAGGTGGAAGGGGTGGAAGATGGGCTGCCTGTTGGAGAGCCATCGCCACAGCTTCATAACCCTCTTGAGCCAGGTGCGTCTGTATCAGCTGCAACAACTGCTTCTTATTGAAACTTATTCTGGTCTGTGCCACCACATCAGCCTGCAAACACAACACACAAACAATGGATGCAGGCTACAGGTTCAGCCCAACAGCACTCAAGCATTACAACACTAAACAAGCCGTCACACCTAAACACAACAACAATTATAAAAACACAAAAATTAAGACAACTACAGAAGGCCTATTGGCATAATATTATATAATATTTATATATATATATATATATATATATATATATATATATATATATATATATATATATATATATATATATATATATATATATATATATATATATACACACACACACATATATATATACATACATACACATACATAAACACAACACACACACACACACACTACCTGTATATGTAACTATAAGATGTTTAATAATAATTTAAAATAAAGACAATAGGGTATAAAGAATTAAAACATGATTGCACAATAAATCACAAGAATGTGATGAATCTAGGAATAAATATTGGGACCGTACAATAGTATAGATGCTCCGACACTTACCCTGTGTATACTTTGCATGGAAATGTCTGTGGAAGCGTCTCCTTCATGTTTAGTGCGTCCCGACACCGCTTTAATCAATTCCAGGGCATGACGCTGAAACTTCACGTGCTCCATCCTTTTGTCTTGCAGAATTGGTTCTTTCATTAACACTGAAAGAGGAAGGAACGAATTATCAAAAGACGGCACCAAACCGGCAAAATTATTTACCACAGTCTATCACAAGATATTTAAAGGGTATGAAATGATCACATGTGTAACACTGAGGAAAGGTATGATTATATAGTGAAGTTATAAAATGTGGATACATTTGTTATTATAGGGTATACAAAATACAGTACAATGGGAGTACTGTACTCATAGCATAGTCAAATCATCCTCATGACTCCTACTGATTTTCCCTCACAAAATACTGTACAATGTTAATTGCATTTACAAAGTAATTTGAAATATAAGAGTGTTTTTTATGTACCGCCAATACCAGGATGGACCGAAACATCATCGTTTCTTTATTTTCTGATGTGCGGTTAGGGCATCGTACCTTCAGCTACATTATTGTGACATCTGTGTAAGTGTCATGGGTTTCAAATATGAATATTTTTTTTATTATTCACTTACACATGCATTATGTAGGTTAAAGATTGTTTTTTCATTAAAGCCATGGCATACACGGAGAGGGTTTTTGGAGTTCTACTTCCTGAGCTGGAAACCAACCCATTATAAAACAAAGATCTATTTTGTTTCACTTGAACTACTATTGCAGCGTAATTATATTTGTAAAAAAGGATTAAAATCTGTATTGTAAACTGTATATAACATATACCTGTGATGGGTAATGAAATGCTTTAAATTTGTCTTATTTTCTTGTTTTGCAAATTAAGGATTACTTTTTGAGTAAAAAGGATGTTTTAATGAACCTAAAACATAGTTCCAACAGCCGCCTGCTGCTGAAACTTGTTTTAACTGTTGGAAGTTTTTGGAATGGCCCGCAGGCCCACACATCCACTAAACCCGGTTGATCCGGCACTTCTTGAAGTGCAGGACCAACTGGGCTGGACACTTTTTGAAGAAAAGTGTCCAGTTTTTTTTCTTGACTTCCACTTTTGTATCAGCAAGATTTCTTATACTTGCCGGAAAAATACTGAGCTATTATGGAGCTCTGATATTCATACAGTGTTGTAGGAATGCCTATGGCACCTCTACACTTCACTGGTTCCATTCTACATTTCCATTATGAACATTGCGATGGGATTCCTGGATTTGAAGGTTCTCATAATGCACCCTATCATTTTCTACATGATGCTATATTTGCTTTGATATGTTCAATAAACATTAATTTGTCAGACTTCATTATTCCGAGATCCTTTACATGTTGCGTGATCCTGTTGTATGGACACAACGGACCTTACCCTAAGAAGCAACAGAAAGATCTGCTTAGAAAACTAAGAGGCCCTCCACTCAATGACATGTATGGGTTTATTGATGAGTAAAATGAATAAACAATTTTGCTACTCTCAACTACTTATTTCTGTACAAGTGCACTCACATTGCAACTGTCCAGCTGTGAAGATAGGCAGCTTGCTCATGATCTGTCGTGCTGCATCACTTCTCGAGAGTCCCACAAGAGCTCTGCATGAGAGTCCTCTGATGCAATCAGCATCTGTGATGGGCATTTTCTTGTGGAGAACGTTCAGCAAGTACTAGAACATGAAAGTGTTCATATCAAACAAAGAAAATAATTATGAATTACATTTGTAACAATACCAATATGTATCGTGTAATATTGATTATTGCCAGTTTAACATTAGAGTACTGTACATGTATTGAGCTTTTTAAGCTCTGTTATAAAGCTATTAGGATGCTGAAAAGTGCGAGCTGCATTATACTGTATATTGAGCAAAATGCAAATGGACTCCTTTATACACAGTGGTACCTTAGTTTTCAAATTTAATCCGTTCCCAGAGACGGCTCGTAAACCAAAAATTTGCAAACCGAAACAAACTTCCCCATAAGAAATAATGTAAATTGAATTAATCCATTCCACACTCCCAAAAATATTAACTCAAAAATACATTTCATACATAATACCCATAAATATTTTGTACTATGGTATGTACAAGTTATAGCTTATCTTTATTGATGACTCTTGTTGGCGTATGGAAGACGGTGAGGAGGAGGGGGGCTGAGGAGAGGTGTTAGTATTTGGAAGGTATTAGTATTTTACTTTCAAAAAAGTAAAAAAACAAAGAAATTCTTTACAAAGAATTCAAGCGCAATCGTCACTAGGCGGGAGGCACTGATAAACTAAAGCGCCGTCATCCATGCCACCAGGAACCACGCGCTCAGTTGACCCATACCTGTATTAACAAACTTGCAAAACGAGGCAAAGCTCATAACCGATTCAAATTTTACGAAACAATTGAGCTCGTATCCCGAAAAATTCATAAAGAGGGACATTCGGCAACCGCGGTTCCATGGTACAATATTATCTTTAAGAAAGATGCAGATGTATACAATCTCTATTATATTTACCATTAAAGATTTGGCGGATATAAATGGTTATCCGTCTGCTCATAGTATGGCTACGGCTCAAGAAGCGGAAGTGATGTCCCATCTCTCTGTAGCACTGTTTAGATATGCAAACCACATTTTGCACCATTCAAGTGTTCTAGAGGCTAACTTGAAGCAGGAGAGAATTGGGATGGATATATATATAGGCCTTGTATGGGCCAATAGGCCTTCTGTAGTTTCCTTTGCTGTTGAGTTCTTTTCTCCACTTACAGCCTTAAGTCCATACCGTCCACAGCACAAGTTTGCCAAGGAGGCTTTATACCTTAGCTTTTCTTAATTTTCCCTGGAAGATGACCTACTTGTCAGTTTATAACCAGGTCGCCAATTACAGCTGGGTGAAGAGGAACAAACAGTTAAGTGTCAGTGCCCAGTTGATCCTCCCTTCACAGGACTTCAACCCAGTGAAAAATCGCACAATGCATGCTTTTTTTTTTTTTTTTAATACTCAGGCGAGTACAGAAACAGATAACTTCTGGCTCCTGTTACCAGGCTTAGAGGCCTTACCCACTAGTTTTCCCTGGAACACAACCTGACAATAGGTTTACAACCAAGTAATCAATTACTACTGCTTATTGAATAGAGGCAAACAGTTAAGAAGTAGCGCCTCCCTGGCTAGGACTCTAAACCAGATCAAATCCCCTCGTGAGGTTCCCGCTTACTCTCCTTTTAATTTTACTATGCACCTTTGTAAGCATATTCACTAACATTGTTTACTGGTGTATATTATAGCCTAGGCACTTAAATTTGTGAAATTTTGTTGGAATAGCAGGATTGCATGTGAGTGGCAATCACTTCTCAGTGTTTGGCATCTCAAGGCATGATACTGTTGGCATGTTTGCAAAGACAGACTGTAGTAGACCAGTAGTAGAAATTATTATGGATGTTTCATTAGCAGTGACTAAGGGAATACGTAACAAATGTCTGATGAAAATCTTACTGACTTAACAAATTCACAAAAACTTGGTATCTGTAGCATTAAACATTATGATGAATACCGTGAGGAGACATTTGTACATGGGACTAATAGAGCAAGAACTCTGCAATGTGATATTATAATGGCCAGAATATGCCTGGGATATACACATACAAGGCTACTCTCTTTCAACTTTGTGAAAGAGAAAACATGTAATTCCCTTGAAAATTATATTGTAGAATGTCTCATACTGGCTGACTTTCATTTCCTGGGATGAGATATGCGTAATTCTGCAAATACTATCTGAATATCAGAACACTTTATGATGATATACTGGACTTGTACCCAAGATTGACTATGTAAGGCTCAAATTATATACAATATATGTGATGTAACTTTTTTTTTTTTTTTTTTTTTTTTTTTTTTTTGAGATATATACAAGAGTTGTTACATTCTTGTACAGCCACTAGTACGCGTAGCGTTTCGGGCAAGTCCCTGGAATATGATCCCCTGCTGCGAAGAATAGTTTTTTCATCCAAGTACACATTTTACTGTTGAGTTAAACAGAGGCTACAGTTAAGGAATTGCGCCCAGTAAATCCTCCCCGGCCAGGATACGAACCCATGACATAGCACTCGCAGAACGCCAGGCGAGTGTCTTACCACTACACCACGGAGACTGATCTATGACTTGGTCTTATAAAAGCCCACCTTAATCAACTTCAGTGGTTAAGTGTTAAATAACACTAGTTTCTATAGCAGCTATCTTACCCTGCCAAAGTAGGAGAGACAAAAAAAAGATATACAGTATATATATATGTACAATGTATTGTGTAACCACTGACGCTGATCAGTGACTGCCACAAAAGTCGGTGAAACAAAGAACTGAAACCTACGACCCTTGTGAACACCACGATTTAACACAACAACCACAATAATACATACCATAATACCATTGCTTGTCCTCACACAATCCCAAGCCTTGTTGATTACATCTTCACCACTGCTCATCTTCTTCTTATTAGGGGTTAATGACGTACTGTGTCTGCTGACACTACTCCCAGGCTGTAGAGTCAACAATACATCAATTGCCTTAGGACAAGAAAACCCTCAGTGCCACAATTACAACAATCAATACATTTCAAGTAAAAAAAAAATAGTAAAATCATATGGAGAGATATGTTTTAATGCAGCCAATCATGGGAGGTATACCCAGCGTATGCCAGGCACATCTCACACTCAAGGTAAACCTAGGCACTGTAGCCAGGCACATCTCACACTCAAGGTAAACCTAGGCACTGTAGCCAGGCACATCTCACACTCAAGGTAAACCTAGGCACTGTAGCCAGGCACATCTCACACTCAAGGTAAACCTAGGCACTGTCGCCAGGCACATCATGCAACACAATACTCTCAACATTGTTAACATGCAGTACATCACACTGGCATAAAATAAGTCATATTGTCTTACTAAATAATGGAGAGAATCAGTAATATATTACAATCCAAGTCTCTTCTGTTTTTTCTTCCTTCCAGTGTCGGGAGGTTTAACTCTTCCCACAGTTTTCCCCGGACCTTTACCCGTAAGTCTAACATTTTATCTACTTTACTATGAAATGCCATCTATAACAGCATGTAATTTGACCTACCATAAGTTAAGAACCTTAAATTCAACCAGACTCACTCTGAATTCTGCATTTATTTACAAATATGTACAAATTGTTAATTAACAAATCATAATTTACTCTTTACAAACCTGTACACTTAAATGTTAATAGCATATTATTATTTATGTAATTCTACATAAATTATTGCCAAAACTCACTGACGAAACCTACCCGGTAAATTGGCGCGCAGAGACAGTTGATGAGGACATTAAGCGCAGCCTTCTGCACTTCGGGAGACGTTGTCATGGATTGCGTGTTCTCGTGAATACATGCAACCAACACGGCATAGCCTGGAACTTCCTGCAAGAGAAATAAACAAGCAAATCTGAAATTACCATGATCAAGTTTTGCTGTGTGTGATACACCAGGTGAACTTATGAATCTTATCATGATTAATCCTTATATGACTTAGCTAATGAAAAAAGTTTTGAATGTAATGAAATACCTCATTTTATGCAGTATTATTATTCAATAGTACAGTATTTAATTTGAGAAATTTATGTAGTTACATGTGTGGAACATTGCTATGCTCAAAAATATGGTGCTCATATAGAGTGACATGTATATTATATTTTTTGAACAATAAAACTGTTTTTGCTGTTAATACACTATACACAGATGCATTATATGCAACTATCAACATTACTGTGCTCATAAGGAACCACTAAACTGGTGTGGCGAGTTTATAATCTCATAACAACGATCCAACGACAGCCTAGCACCACAGCAGTTCTGTGGGTTGGCAGTTCACACAGATATTTTTACACCCAGTGCACCCCTAAATCTGAATTCTCTTCAGCGCAGGCAGGAGAGATACATAATAAAATAGTTTACACAAGGAAAATAGTAAGAGGGGCTGGTCCAAAACCTGCACACAGAAAAAACATCACACTAGACCACAAGGCATGGCAGGATGTGTAGATTACCCCTGTTGAAGAGCAGAGGTGCAATAGGTACCCTGAGAGAGAACTCCATCAACATCAGAGGCCCGAGACTGTTCAAAATGCTTCCACTACACACAAGGGACATAACTGGCCAACCCCTCAGTGTTCAAGGAAGAACTATCTGGTTGATACCTGGTTGATGGAGTTCTGGGAGTTCTTCTACTCCCCAAGCCCGGCCCGAGGCCAGGCTTGACTTGTGAGAGTTTGGTCCACTAGGCTGTTGCTTGGAGCGGCCCGCAGGGCCACATACCCACCACAGCCCAGTTGGTCCGGCACTCCGTGGAGGAATAAATCTAGTTTCCTCTTGAAAATGTCCACGGTTGTTCCGGCAATATTTCCTATGCTTGCTGGGAGGGTGTTGAACAACCGGGGACCTCTGATGTTTATACAATGTTCTCCGATTGTGCCTATGGCACCCCTGCTCTTCACTGGTTCTATTCTGCATTTTCTTCCATATCGTTCACTCCAGTACGTTGTTATTTTACTGTGTAGATTTGAGAGGCCCGAGACAGTTCAACATGCTTCCACTACACAAGGGGCATAACTGGCCGACCTCTCATAGTGTTCAAGAGAGAACTTGACAAACACCTACAAAGGATACCTGATCAACCAGGATGTGACTCATACGTCAGGCTGCGAGCAGCCATGTTCAATAGCCTGGTTGACCAGTCCAGCAACGAGGAAGCCTGGTCGATGACCGGGCCGCGGGGTTGCTAGGCCCCCAAATCATCAAGGTAACCTCAAGGTAACCCATCCCTTTCCAATGATATTGCAGTTTGTGCAGTGCAGTGGTTAAGTACTTCCAACATTTACACTTTTATTCTTCATTTACACATTTCCAAATAGCTATAAGACAATATCTTTACTCCTAAAGCTCAAGGCAGGTATAAGCAACAGAGCCAAGACATTCTTGCCTTTAGTGACGGGACATTTAAAAAGGTGAGGACAATGAATGACCCATTTCAATCTTCAATGAATGATGGGGTCAATGAACAGCCCCATCAATCTTCCCACCCATTTATCACAATGGATATGAAGCTATTTGCACCATAATAGTTGGAGAGGAGTCTGAGGATTATTTTGATAATATGCATAATCACACACAAAACACACATTTCTCAAAACAGAGAAATGTATACAGTATTTAGGTACTTCACTTGGCAACGTTGACATTATATGATCAAATGAACATAGGAATATTAGAATGAAAAAAGGTGCAGAAAACTTGTTGGCTCATAGGAGGCAGCTCCTATTAATGTCCACCTAACCTTGTAATGTGTTTTGAGATCAGCTGATAATTCACAAGATCATCAGACTTTATAGGAAAAAAGCAGGAATAAACAGTAGCTACACACACATGTTAAAGTTAAGAATAAACCATACCTGAGGGTCGAGCGTCTGAAGAAGATCGTCACTGGCCGGAATGGTTAGCTTATCACACAGGGCACCTTGGACGGCTGGCATCACACTGCACACATACAGTGTGTCCAGTGCAAACACTGCGGTCTCCATCCTAGTGGGGAGGCACAATGGTTACTGTTATAGCTGACATGCAGACCTTATCATCACTCCACTGCCCACTTTCATTGAGCGGGGAGGCATCAACCCGGAGAAAAAAGTGAACAACAATTCAAGATATAGATAAAAATAAATAAAATATTAGTCGTCTACGCGATGCACCAGTCACACACACTATATTGGCAAATTCCAGCAGTCATCCACAGCAGCACCGCACTACTTTATAAGACCAGGTGTACAATGTGCTTTGCTCTGGGGTCCATGCCACCACTCTCAACATAAACCAGATTTCTTGCGTGGAAAGTATTTATTGTTTATATCATCCTTACCCACAATATTTGTTTTCGTAAGCTATTACTTCAAACAAAAGAGCTTGGATGGGTTGATGCAGCATTAATGTATTCTGGCAAAATCTGTTTAGCATGGGGCATGTGTTCTTGGAAACGTGAATGTGTATTTGCTGGTTTTGTGGATCAAAATCCCAGTCTTTGACCAGGCCTTCTCGTTGGCGGTCTGGCCAACTAGGCTATTAGACGCAGCTGCTCAGCTGCTCACAGTCTGATGTACAAGTCACAGCCCAGTTGATAAGGTATCCTTTAGAGGTGTTTAGCAAATTATCTTGAACTGAATCAGCACTATAGAATATGGGGGCTCATTAGGGAGTCAAAGTATGATAGGAATACATTTCTAATTGTACAGTATATCCATCAGTTGAAACTCTTGAACACTATTTCCAATAGGTGCAATGTTGTAAACAGGAGATAGGGTCCAGAAGCACCAAAAACTGGCCCAATTACACAAGATATAATGTTGAGAAACACTCATTTTATTTACCTTCAATGATTAAGTTTCCATACTTATTGGATGTAATAATTACCAAGTATTATGGGTGTGCATACAGGCATCAAAATAAAAGGCAAGTAAATATAAACTATGTGCACAAGGTACAGCACCAACCCCATACTCTCCTAAAATGTCACATTTCATAAGACACACACACACACCAATCCATTAAAATGCAACATTTTAATGGATTAGTCAATGTAAGAATTGGAAGCACAGTAATGCTGATGATTTTTATACAACAATCTCAAAACAGTACATTATGTGGGTTGCTTGGGTTCCTAAGTATAATGTTAAACAAAACGGCTACATTTTTATGAAGTGGCTAGTTGAGAGAACGGGCAGAGAGCACAGAGGAGGAAAAATACTTACTTCGGACTGAAGGATTCATTGAGCACCATGGCCACTAGTTGCAGCAACAGCTGTAGGCCTTTTAAAGACACAAACTGTTCTACAGGTTTCCATCTTGCTCTGAAGGGCAGGTTTTCCAATAGGTATTCTATGTTACGTTCTATCACTTCAGGCGTCACATTCACCGCCTGTCGATTACACAATTTATAACAAACATTTTCTTCCCACATTTAAGAAACAGCAAATGCAAAAATCCACACAAAAAATTATGAGCAGTCATCCACTATAATGATGATTTTGCATATAACTATTATTATACAGTACACTGTATATAAAAAACTAAGAAATCTTCTACTATTATCCAACTCGATATCATATCCTGATTAATCTCGGTGGTCAATACCATGAGCTCTAAGAATACTTCTTGAGGAGCCATAGCCTGCCTGCTACATCCTCCACCAATAAAACTTTTATCTTGACAGCTTTATTATAATAAACTAGGTATGCTTCCAGTTCTTATTACTTAATACTCAAGTCAAATTACATCATTTTATGATGACCAAGCCACAACTCGGAAGATGGAAAAGCGATTACGGTTTGGTCTGTCCTGGACCATTATATCAAGTCCGTCCTGGTCCAGGACAGACCGAAACGCCGTCACTTTTGAATCTTCTGAGTTGTGGTGTGGTCATCATTTCTTCAGCCACATTATTGTGACTCATTGTCTACATCATTTTATTAACTTAATAGGGTTGACAATTTTATTATCTTTTAAGCTAAATTTTCAGAATCTATAGTGTATATCTCTACAAATACAACAGCTACCAAAGAAATCATCAAAGTACAGTACATAAAAATAATTTAAAGTATGAATTTTCTTAATTTAATTCCTCAATAGTTTAGTTCAGTTATTATAAACCCCCTACCCATCCTGTCCAACCACTTGGGCTGGACGGTAGAGCGACGGTCTCGCTTCATGCAGGTCGGTGTTCAATCCCCGACCGTCCAAGTGGTTGGGCACCATTTCTTCCCCCCGTCCCATCCCAAACCCTTACCCTGATTCCTTCCCAGTGCTATATAGTCGTAATGGCTTGGCACTTTCCCCTGATAATTCCCCTCCCTCCCCTGCCCATCCTGTTGGTGGAAGTGGACCCCCTGAGGGTAGATGCAAACCACTTTCCCCCTTACCCAGTGGGCAGTGGTGGAAAGGTTGCAATTAATTATTTAATACTGCAGTTTATACATTTATATAATTTATGTTTTGATCCATCCAGCACCCTTACAACTCTCACAACATAAGTCAGCTTGTCTACTTCTACTTCATCTGCTGCCCACAAAGCACCTACTGTAAATAACCTATATACGGTATATTTAAATATTGTCGTTTCTCATGCGAGAGGAGTGGGAAGGTACCCATTTCCTAGTTTTTGCCCAAGTGTAAAGATACATTCTACCTGCTCATTTGAACAGTGAAATGCACATTGGCATAAAGAATAAATATTTTTAATTCTGAAACCTCCCTAAACTTTCTATAAACACTAACCATACCAAAAAACCTAAGTAGGGCATTTACAAATATATGGTATACATGCCGACATACACAAGTATGACATACATGCCGACAGACACAAGTGTGGCATACATGCCGACACACACAAGTGTGGCATACATGCCGACACACACAAGTGTGGCATACATGCCGACACACACAAGTGTGGCATACATGCCGACACACACAAGTGTGGCATACATGCCGACACACACAAGTGTGGCATACATGCCGACACACACAAGTGTGGCATACATGCCGACACACACAAGTGTGGCATACATGCCGACACACACAAGTGTGGCATACATGCCGACACACACAAGTATGGCATACATGCCGACACACACAAGTGTGGCATACATGCCGACACACACAAGTGTGGCATACATGCCGACACACACAAGTGTGGCATACATGCCAACACACACAAGTGTGGCATACATGCCAACACACACAAGTATGGCATACATGCCAACATATACAAATATGGTTTACGTGTAAATGTAAAAAAAAAAACTCATCCTTCCTCTTTCAAGCTCTCAAGACTAATGTATTTAAAATAATTTAACTCCCACTCCAGATATCTGTGCACTCTTCCCTCTACACTGACTAGTCCTCTTTTCTTATCCACTGGTAAGCTGGGAAAAGTGCACAAAATCCTACATTGAATTTGAATGGTAAAATTTGTTTATGGCCTTCATGATCATGTTTAACTGGAGTTCAACATGACTCTGGTATCCAATTATTTTCATATACTTTCTGTGCAAAACAACTTTGGGACCAAAGAACTGAAGCCCACCCCCCCCCCACACCCTGCAAGCATCATTAGGCAAGTGCAGTGACTTCAAAATAAATAATGTGTTTGGGATTGAGCATTTGGTTACTTTCACTATGTCTGGATCCTAATGGTGTTTGGTTCATTAAGTAGTCTCAATATTTGACTTAGCGCAAACATTATTATTTGGTATACCACTTTTAAGTGTTGGGGAGGCATCAGCATGAAGACAGAATATACTGTATAAAGTATGTCTTTTTTATGCAACTATTGGCTATACTGTAACCTAAACACTATTTGTTATTTGGTATACCACTTTTAAGTGTTGGGGAGGCATCAGCATGAAGACAGAATATACTGTATAAAGTATGTCTTTTTTATGCAACTATTGGCTATACTGTAACCTAAACACTTAACATCCAGCTTGTATTCTCAAATTAGCAACTAATGAACAAAAATTGATTATGTAATTAAGGTCAAAGTCACTATTATTTGCTCGGGTCATTATTGCTTAGCCCATATGATTGTTGGGATTGGTTTAGTGGTTTATGACCTGGGAACGGCTGAATGTAAAGATGAACAACTTATGTGCAAGGTAGCATAATCTCGCAATATGTCCTGGTGTCGTTTGATATCGAGGTGGAGATGCATGCTTTTGGCAACTGGTCAGCCTCATTAGCCAATGTGGCATTTGTCGGCAACTACACTGTTTTTCCCCCATAATGTTGCTATCTAGGCATCTACCATTCTGTCAAATACACCTTACAGATCTTACATTTGCCTACAAACAAAATAGGAATCAAATTCATCAAATATAACACACTTTTTTTTGACGAGCAAACAAGTATGTTTTGTTCGTAATCGTGAGAAGACCTTGTAAAACTGACCTTGTAAGCTGGTGACGAGTGTTGAGATGCCGAGCTGTGTTCTCTGGCTGTCATCCTTTGCAAGTGCTGGACTTTAAGGGAGAGGTGAGCCTCAAAATAGTGTTTGATGCTTAGGCAAACTTGCTTGACCGTCTGCCACATCATCACTTCATTGGGCTCATCTAATGAATCCTGTTCCCAAACATCTTGGAATAAGGAGAGTGTGGAGACCATGTTGGAAACCTTACGAAGGCCATCTTGCTCATCAAATCTTTCTAAAACGGCTCTAAAACGGAAGACCATTCCAAAGAACATGACTGAATGCGTTCTAGACGACTGATGTGAGCACTCTAAGAGCCACAAGGCATAACGGATTAGTTCAGAGAGTATATTATCTGGAAGGAGACAGATTCTCTCAACTGCTTCTTCACAATAAGCCAGATACCAGAGGCATAGTGCTACACCATCTGCTGGAAGAGATGGACGAGGGACCTGACACAAATAAAAGAATCTATAATTACGTACTAAATAGGTAAATATCTAATCCTTAAACGGCTCGGCTAATTAAAAGTTTGACATCATGTTGTACATGATTTTTTTTTAAATACTCCACAAAATTAACAAAAATATCCTGTTTGGCAATTTGAGGAAAGGAGATAATTGGAGATAGCAATTGAGAGCCATTTAAGGATTAATGATCATTAAACCAGCAATTAAAATTAGAGTGCAATATATGAAGGTAAATAAAAAACACTGACACAATTAGATAAAATTAATTACCCACTGAATACACATTTTGTTCATTATTTTGTTACATGTCGAGACACATATCAAAGCAAATAAAACTAACCTGTAACAGCTTCTGGATGCCGCCCATGTTGACAAACTCTAGGCAAAATTTCTTATGAAAGAGAAGTGATCCAAGGAAACGCAAGCCTTCAAAAGAGAGACGAGCATTTCCAGTTTTTCTGACGTTCATATAGTGGAAGATCAGTTCAAGAGCATTGTGCTCATACACGTGACCCAAGGACTGGCAAAGGAGAAAGATAAACACACCCTTAAAACATTAAGTACACTCAACCAGTAAAGTTAATTGGCAAGGATTAGATTCACAAAAATAATGCTGACGACTTGTAACCTCCTTTCGCAAGAGTATTTTTACCCAACTCTTTCAAATATCCAAACAAGAGTGATATTCAACTTTGGCATGACAAGCACTCAACCCCTTGGAGTGTGTAAATCTAAAAATATTAGAAATAAAATAATTTACAAACTTTTTCTTTCAAAATGAGAGCTAAAAATATCAAACAAAATACAGTATTAAACAAAAACTTCATGTATCCTTAGATATAAAGAATTTAACATCAATTTATTATAATACCAACAAAATTGTCTCTATTTCACATGAATATTTTGGGATGCAATGATGCCTCATGAATCAAAATCCTTCTAATTAATGATATTAGTATGACAAATGTTAATTAACATAGGCTGTTGCTTATGAGTTTACAAGAGATTTTTATAAATTTCAAAATAAAAATTATACGAGAAAAGAGTTTCACCGTACCTCTTGGTATTCACCAATGGGTCGCAGGTATTTTAAAACAAATATTTGTTGGGTATCACGAGTCATCGGATACATTTGGTACGTTCCCACTATGTAGCTACTCAGCTCTGCCCACGATGAGTTAGAACAATCGGAGTTAAGCAGGGGATCGCCTACGTCTCGTGACGCCTTCGGAGAACCAAATATGTTGAATGTCCCACTGGTGTTGGTATTTTTGGTTGGTGTAGTACTTTGGTGAGAGTCTGAAATGCAAGAAATAATATGACAGGTGCAAGGTAAAGTAATTATCAGGAAAAGCACTATGGCAGCATGACTATATAGCACTTGGAAGGGATACGAGGGAAAGGATCTGGGCTTAGACCCTGGGAAGCAACAGTGCCCAACCACTTAAGACCACCTGTGATCGAACGCTGCCGACCTGCAACATGTACTCACCTAATTGTACTGTGTGCCTATCACTGTACAGTACTGACAAGTCCAAGTGGTAGAGGGCAGTCAGCTACATCAATAAACAGTCAAATTATAAAGAGAAAAACTGAAAATATTAAAAAAAACTATGACAATAATTTGTTATGAATTCACACAAAGTACACTTTGACCAAGACGTTACTTACTTTTAACCTTTTTAGGACTGGATTCATGATCAGTTTTGTGGTCAGCATCTTCTCCATTTGTGAGAGGCAGTGCACTGATGGACTCGCTGTTGAGGTGGGCAAAGGGGCGCTCGGGAACACTGCATCCTGAACCTCTCTCCTCCTCTGTCCCACCACCTTCAACAAATGACCACTGTGCATTAGTATAACTCTTGTGTGTCAACTGATGTTTAAGTTTATACTGACAAAGACTAATATGGTATATGTTTATATAAAAAATATTTCTACATTTTCTTCAGTGTGCCTTTAATAGCTGTTGCACACTAGTGCATACTTATCACTACCTTGACCTTCCTGTGGCATCAACAACCCACAGGTTGGAAGGCCACCTTCAACCTCCAGGACCACCAGTAACCTCTGCAATGAATAGGCATGTGTGTAGGCTGTGTCATTGGATGGCATGGTTATCAGGTGAATTCCTGCCACAACTACTCAAAGATTTTGGACAAACATAGGGTCTGGGTGTGCAGCAAGTGGTGTCGGCTAGAAATGCACCTGAAAGCCATAGGCTGAACCAGAATGTTAGATCTCCTGGTGAAACTCCGTTGCTTTTTTTCGTTGCCGAACAGACACTGAGCAGGACCAGAGAAAGTGTGTCAAGTCAGGTGTCAGGGGCATGCTCAAGCCCTTAGGGCAGCCTTCAGTTGCCTATAGAAATGATCTATAATCCCGTTGACTCAGGGTGGTAGGCTGTGAGTGTTGCTGAGGAATTCCAAGAGTTCCTTCAATAGATGTGTTTCAAACTGGTATCCTTGGTAGGTGATGATGACGGAGAGGCTGCCAAGACAGGCGACTTATCTGGAGGGAAAAAGCCTCTGCCTCTGACTCTGCTGTGATGTCAACCAAAGGGAATGCTTCAGGTCACCTGGAGAATTTGCCGATGCATGCGAGAAAGAATGAGTACTCACTTGCTGCAGGTAACAGTCCAATAATGTCTTAAGTGCAACATTTCAAAACATTTGGAGGATAAAGGAAATTGGGGCAGGGGGGCTTTTTGAATGGTGATTTATCTTTTCCCACTGGAAATGGAGGCATGAGTGAGCCTAATGACAATCATCAGCATTGATTCCTGGCCATGCTTTGTTAGTAAGCTCTGGGTAGTGTGCACCCCTGGGAGAGCATGGGAGTGGAATGCTGAGAAAATTTTCAAGTGAAATTGGGCCGAAATGTAAAGCCTCATAGTTCTAGACCAAGAAGTGTTACATGCAATTATGTTGCCATCTGCTATGGAAATGTCAATGAACCGGAGGGCTGTGTTAGACATTCTTATTTGTCAAAATTCCCAATTTTCACATTTGCTTTAATGATTACTGAGTCCACATTACCAAGGTATTGCAAAATCAGGCTTATATTGGATCGAGACGGTGCACTGGCTATGTCGTCAGCACCCTTGACACCAAGGATCTCTGTAGTGTACTGGGAGATAAATTTCAAGTTGCAGGCTACCCGTGGAGAGTGAGAATCACCTTTGTGGGAGTCTGGTGTGTATCAGCAAGGTGCAATATCCCAGTACTACCTGGTGTCAAACAGCTGGTCAGAGAGGGCAGCCAACCACACCAATGGATAGTTGTTGTCAAAGCTAGACAAATCTGGCTGCACATGGGCTGGACAAAACTGCATCCAGAGTGATCATACAACTTTGCTGGGGGCAAGGCTTCTCCACAATGTATATGGTACAGAAACTGGACTGATGTCTTGTTTGCCAAAGTCTTCTCAGTGAGCAGTTGGTGTTGCTGTTTAATACGAGTCTTCATCTCTGAAGGAGGGCAGCTTTTAGTGCAGTGCATGCCTGCGTTTCTGCTGTTGGGGGACTGGTTACAGCAGAGGCCTCCACGGGGTGTGCTGACAGGGTGTAGGTGTACTGGGCTTTGTCAGATGTAATCTCATGATGTTCAAAGATGGCCTCCATCTGAGTAAACCATAGCTCTGGTTCTTCCGCGCTGTACACTGGAAACCTGGTGGAGAACTTCATATTGTGGTATTAGTTGTCTGTTAGGGGTGGGTGTTTTTGTCACTCTCTGGGTAACCAATGTAATGCTGGTCATTGATGACAACAAACACGCAGTATGGTAACTAACCACATATTGACAATTTGGTTACAGAGGCTGGTGATGTATGCCAACATTGTGACAGGTTGAGCTATAGCATGCTACTTTTTGAATGCTGGTAGCAGTAGAGATGATGGCATCAAGTTCAGCAGTTCATTGTACATCAGAAGAAGTGTTGCTGTTCCTAACCATCGATGGAGCCTGCATGACTTGTCGCTGCTGCTGTGATTGGAGTGGCTTTATATCCCTTGTTCACCTGACCAGGCTCCCAGCTCCAGGCTGCTTGTAATGTGGGTGATGGGAAAAAGCTTTGCTTCTTCTGTTGGATGTTATTAGTGGTTTATTAACCGCCTGGGAATATGTTGCAGTGATAAGTGGGGTTGCTGCAGATAATCATTTTTAGTACATGTAATTTTATTCGGCACATGTATTGGTGTAATTATTCATGTGGAATTACTGGGAACCTTTTAAGTATTTGTCATAGAATTTCTAGGAATGTGGAGTAGCTGCAACATTACTGTTAATGTGATTGTTACACAACACTCACCCTCCTGTGACCCTCCCCCCACATGTTGCAAGGTATCTTTCCACTTCTTTGGCGTCAATGAACGAGATATTGCAGGTCACCTTCATCCTTCTGTGGCACTATTGACCCAGATGTTGGCATACCTGGAACATACCTGGAGAGGGCTCCAGGACATCTACTCCCCAAGCCCAGCCCAGCTTGTGATAACTTAATCCAATAGGCTATTGCTTGGAGCAGCCTGAAGGCCTACATATCCACTACAACCCAGTTTGTCCAGCACTTCTTGTAAGACACATTCTCAATGATAGAAAAAACAAGGATTGTTTGCATTAACTGACCATCTATGATATCTGGCACGTCCTCTAATTCAACAAGCCATATTTCATACTTTCTTTTTGGTTATCCCCCAACCTATGAAAGGTAGAAAATGGGTAATAATAATAATGATTTTACCTGATGGGTTCTATACAAATACTATGGGTAAAAGTCTTGGCAAAATCTCACAATACTTACCTTCATCTTTCAGATCCCACAAACGCTTCAACATGATGGGTACAAGGTGCGTGTTATAATCTCTGAAAGAAGCTGCAATCTCAGGAATGTCCATGGCTGCTGCAAGGAGACCAGTGGCATAAGTGCGGAGGGGTTCCGGCCCCTTTTCCGACCACGAGAAGAGTCTCATTACGGTTGTTTCAGATTCATTAAACACCTGTAGACAATAATTATGTTCGATCTCAATTAATTGTCAACTTTGCTTCGTGAAGCATTTAAACTTGTTACTTTTTGCAATTAAGTGAACGCTTAAGGACTATGCTTTTCAGATATAAAAACATTTACATGAAAACATTAATAGACTTCTGGATACATCAACCAGCTTAATAACAAGTTGGTAAGATCAATTTAAATTTAATTATGCTAACTATATAAATGCAGATTTTCTTTAATATTTGACTTATTATTTTTCTCTCTCCAAATCCTCTGCCTTTACTCCAGCAATTATACCTCGGCAATATCAAGTAGTCTATGTTCCCAATTTACACATCACAAAAGAAGTGTTTAAGATGCATTATAGGTACGATGGATAGAACACTGATAGTGTCAAGGAAAACTGTGGTGTACAAACACCTACGGAGTGCTGTGCCGCACTGTTTGGTGCAAGAGTAAGGCCATTGAGAAAGGAATTGATGGGTGGATGTTCATAAACATTAACAAAGAAAAGATGTACCGTGAATAAGAAAAGACGATGGTGTGATAGAGGATTGTTGAGAGGATGGTATGATATGGTGAGTGAATATATGACAAAGTAGAATCATGCAAAGTGGCAAACAATAGGAGTGAGTGGAAGCAGTTTCTTAGGCCATAAATGCCTCTTCTCACACTTAATGCACCAACATTTTGACACTATTCACCACAGCATCAAAGTTGTGGTGTTTTAGTAAAATAAAAAGCTCTGCAATATTGCTGCATCTTGAGATATAATAAGAATCAGTCTCAATTAAGTGGGAAGTTCAAACTCTAATGCTTCTGGTTAGGTAAAACCACTTCAAATTGGATACTAGCCAAGTCTTGAGAGCATGCTGGTCTATGACATGGACACAATACTTCTGTGACTGACTACAGTGTGATAGTATTACTACGTTATGATACCTTGAGTGTGTGGAAGGCATTATAAAAGGATCAGCATCACCTTGAACTAAGACTAAAATGTTTTTACTGTCACTACAAGTGTGTTCATTAAACATGGACTTACCTGAGGTATGTCCAGGCCATAAAGCAGGTCTAGCAAGAGGCGACATGCAGCCGTGTTAAGATCGGTCGAGTCTTGGGTCAGTCCTAAACTAGAAAAATAATTCTCACGAAGATAGTGATTGACTAATTTAGTCACAAAATTATCCTTTTTAAACAGAGCACGTAATATTTGACCGAGGGCACATTCTGGTTCAGAAGTCACGGGGTGGCGATCATCAAAGGGATCTGGATCCTGGAATAATTTTAAGTGTTATAAAATGAATTAAAAGTGGCACATTTTTATCATGTTATGTTATCATTGTGCACGAGGATTCTTTAACCCTTAAACTGCACATATTGGAGGCCAGGAAGCAAAAAATATTCAAATTATGTAAAAGTAACTTAAAAAGGTTAAACAAATCTCCAACTTATTGGCTTCAGCATCGTGAAACTTTCATCAAAATGTTTTCAGAAATTGATTTTAGATGATATTTTTTTAAATAAGAACGTTTTGTTGATAAAGAGAACAGCTCCTAATAACTAGAACTGAGGGATAATGCAGTAATAAAGAGATGCAAGCACGTGCCCGACACAAAGAAGAAGAAGAAGAATAGTAGTAAGAAGGGTCCACAAAGTGGATATACAGCTGGTGCCTCTATAGCATTGGTGAGTAATACATAATAACACAAATAATAATGAGTAACTATGGTATTATGATCTATTTTGTTATATATCATATAAATACATTGTCCAATGTTAATGTATGATACTTTCATCAATGTCCCAAAAATATTTTTTTAGGGGAATTTTTTGTTTTGTTTTTTTTTGTTTTTAAGATTTTAGTTGTTTTTCTTCCTGTGTTTATTATCTGATTTTGTTGTAACCTTTACATCGCGGAGAGTGCATATCCTTCCCTAACTATGTCAAGATAGAATGAAATTGGTCGACAAATAAATCAGTCACAATTTGCAGAACCTGGGACTTTGAATTTTTTAGGCCGATTTTTTCTCAGACTTCAAAACTATTTTCTTGGACACTTTAGGACGTTTTGATGATTAGGGACCAGACGAGGACTTTTCCCTTATATAAAGTATACCCTAAATCATTATAATTATTATTAAAATTATCCCTATATTTTGTTGATTTGGGAGGTTATTTTTCTGGACTTCATTTCAACACATATTGGCCTACAACTTTCACATATTCAAGTACAAATGCCAAACAATGTTTATTAAAACATACAATTAAATTAACGAATTAGAGCCACTTTATTCATTGTTGATAACTTCAACTTCAATTACTGTATCTCTGAAACTAAAGTTTCAACTTTGAGGAGCTTCTAAAATTCCAGTTTTTGACAGATTCTCGCCATTTTGACATTGTGTGCTCAGCTGTCTGTTCTACAATCCCTTCAGAATGGATTTTTCATAAACCCTATACATTTGGAGTTATAATATTTTTTGGTCTAAATTTGCCACATATTTCAAATGCCATATTGGCAATTTTTTTTACAGAAAATTATACTGAAAACCTATATTCTAATTGATGAAAATGAAGATCTTATGCTATTCTGAGAGAATAACAACACCAAATGAACAATTGATGATACTGTAGTTTATAATTTTTATTCCAATTTGAAAATCTGGAACTTTTCAATATTCAATTTTAACATTATTTTTTATTCTCTTGTTTTTCAAGTTACGTTGCGATCATTTAGAAAAAGTTGGAGCATTTGCCTAGTTGATAACACACAAAAAATTTGAAAGTGTTTGTGCAAGTTTTAAAAACTTGAGTTATGTCAAATCGTGTATGTAAGTTTTGCGCAGTTTAAGGGTTAAGAGCAGTAGTACGGGTAGGCTAGGTAGTTACGGTTGAGCCCAAGTGAAGTCAATGGCTCCCAAGACAGGGCATTGGGTCACAGGACTACCACTGTGACCTCGGCAAATCCTAACAATGGAAAACACGAGATGTAACATCAAATAAGATATTTTTATGAATAATACAATATACACTTTTCAAATTTTATTGTAATAAGATGATAAGCCTGCGACCTAATAACTTGTTTTGTGAGCCAGTAACATCACTAAGACTCGGTCACTGCCTCCCCCCACAACCCTCACTAAGGATCTCTCTCTCACCTTGACAATGATAATATTATTGAACGTGCTCAGTCATAAGAATCACTAGTTTTCACTATGTTATTAAGATATAAATAAATTAATACAAAAATAATAATTAGTTTAACAATACAGTAAATTATAATTAGGAAAACTATTAATAATCAGCAAAATTTTGCTTATTTAAAAACAAATTTTGTTAATTAACAGAATTCTGAATAATTATTTTAAAAATTGAATAGTACTAATGTCATAGTACAGTACAGTACTTCCTTACTTTTTTTAAGAAGTTTATAGTTTCTCGCTCAAATAATTCACATAGTTTGACGAGATGGGGTGTGGGGTCTTTGGAAGCGACGGCCTGGTCTTCCTCCCACAGGCGAAGTATTTCTTGCAGTTCCTGAACAATGTCACGGTTTGAGCTCGGCATTATGCCGGTCACCTTCTGTCCTGCAAGAATTAGTAATCTGCTTAAGGAAAATAAGAGCATTTATCAAATAAATATTTTAGGTATACTGTTTAGTGTATCCCATTCTCATGGTTTTACAAGCATCGTTTTTGTGAGGTTTTGCTATACAAGCATACAACTTAACACTAAATCTCAAGTTATCCGAATTCCTGTTCGGATATGGCAAAGTTTGGCAGAGAATTATATTGTGTAGGGACTCGCTGATGTCGAGCCTCCTGCGGCAGCAGAAGACTCTTCATGAAGATCTCTCCAGACACCAAACAGGGCACCTTTAAAGAAACCAATGTCATCTATGCCTTCACATGCCCACTTGGGGACTGTCAGCCCAAAAGATCTCAGTATATAGGCAAGACAACAACATCTCTTTCTAGGCAATTAACAATGCACAAACAACAGGGCTCCAAGGAGCATATAATCTCCTCACACAACCAAACCATCACCAGAGAAATCTTAACAAGCAACACAAAAATTATCGATAGATACAGCGACAGCAGGAGGCGTGACATCAGTGAGGCCCTACACATCAAAAAGTCAACACCAGCAATCAACAGCCAATTAACACATAATTACATTCTACCCACTTCAAGACCCCCAAACCAACACAGAAGCAAGAAGAGAAAATACGTAATAATTCGTGATCTGACTATGTAAAATTATCTTTACCCAATGATTTACACATTGGTTTGTGTTCTATCACCTCACCCAAAAACATTTGTCATATCACCTCACCCAAAAACAAATATAAGCATGAAACGGAGTACCTGTACATAAAAATTTGTCTTTGAAATTGTGAGAAGTCTCTTGCGAAACGCTTCTAGGCGTCAGACCATAAATAAAAATGTGAAAATGAACTTTGGAGAGTTAATTTTTCAATTACCCTCGACAGTGAAGAAAAAACTAAGAAATATTGAGAAGATTCGTGTAAGAATCATTAATTTTACCCTTTCGGTCATTATTCATTTATGTAAATGAAGCACAAGCCATGATGATATAGTACAGTTGACTTGGTTCTCGACTCAAAATTGGGGATCTCGGGTTCAATTCCCAAGCAGGAGAAAAATGGTTGAGCAACATTTCCTTTCACCTGATGCCTCTGTTTTCCTAGTAGTAAATAGGTACTCAGGAGTTTGGCAACTATTGTGGGGTTGTATCCTGGTGAAGGTCAGTAGTTTGACCTTGGGGAACCTCAATACAAGCCTAAAGTGTAAACATATATGTATATAAAAATATATATATTATGCAGGCTTCCTGTCCCTGACAACAGGAATTATTGTTAATTATTAAGACACTAGAAGTTGCAATGTTAGGCAAGGGTTATCATTAAGTTTCTAAGAGAAAATAGTCACACAACAGTTTGTCATATGATCCCAACTGCTTCATCAATATCTAGAGAGATAAGGGACATAAATATGTACGCTGTTATCCCCTATCAGTGTGAGGTATGTTCTTATGTACCATTCCAACCTGACACACTCCCCTAACTTATCCTGACACAAACAACAAAAGTAATTATAAAGAAAGGCAACAAGCTGGGGTACACAAGCAGCAGTCACAAATCAAATAAGAATGTTTCCAGCACCCTTGACTCAAAACACAATCAAACTAAAGCTGCTTTATATGCCAGAGTGCCTCCTCATTTGTTAATTCATAAATTCAATGAATATGGCATGGTATGCATACCACTATTGGCTACAGGAAGCCTACTAGGCTGAGTGAGGTCTTCCTAGCCAAGGGGGAGGAAAGCTAAGGTCCTTCTAGATGAGGACGGGGCAGATCAAGGTTCCCCTTAGCTAAGGGCAAAGCTGATCGAGGTCCCCCCTAGCCAAGGGCCTTGCTGATCGAGATCTCCCTAGCCAAGGGTCTTTCTGATTGAAATCCCCCTAGCCAAGGGCCTTGCAGATTGAGGTCCCTCTTCCCAAGGGCAAAGCTGATTGAGGTCCCCAAAGTCAAAGGCAAAGTTGAGCAAGGGTTCCCCCCAGCCAACGGTGAAGCTGATCAAGGTCCCCTCAGCCAACGGTGAAGCTGATTGAGGTCCCCTCAGCCAACGGTGAAGCTGATCAAGGTCCCCCCAGCCAACGGTGAAGCTGATCAAGGTCCCCCCAGCCAACGGTGAAGCTGATTGAGGTCCCCTCAGCCAACGGTGAAACTGATCAAGATCCCCTCAGCCAACGGTGAAACTGATCAAGGTCCCCCAGCCAACGGTGAAGCTGATTGAGGTCCCCTCAGCCAACGGTGAAGCTGATCAAGGTCCCCTCAGCCAACGGTGAAGCTGATCAAGGTCCCCCCAGCCAACGGTGAAGCTGATCAAGGTCCCCCCAGCCAACGGTGAAGCTGATCAAGGTCCCCTCAGCCAACGGTGAAGCTGATTGAGGTCCCCTCAGCCAACGGTGAAGCTGATTGAAGTCCCCTCAGCCAACGGTGAAGCTGACCCGAGGTCCCCCTAGACAACAGTGAAGCTGATTGAGGTCCCCCCCAGCCAACGGTGAAGCTGATTGAGGTCCCCCCAGCCAACGGTGAAGCTGATTGAGGTCCCCTCAGCCAACGGTGAAGCTGATCAAGGTCCCCTCAGCCAACGGTGAAGCTGATCGAGGTCCCCTCAGCCAACGGTGAAGCTGATTGAGGTCCCCTCAGCCAACGGTGAAGCTGATTGAGGTCCCCCCAGCCAACGGTGAAGCTGATTGAGGTCCCCTCAGCCAACGGTGAAGCTGACCCGAGGTCCCCCTAGACAACGGTGAAGCTGATCGAGGTCCCCTCAGCCAACGGTGAAGCTGATCGAGGTCCCCCCAGCCAACGGTGAAGCTGATCGAGGTCCCCCTAACCAACGGTGAAGCTGAGCGAGGTCCCCCTAGCCAACGGTGAAGCTGAGCGAGGTCCCCCTAGCCAATGGTGAAGCTGAGCGAGGTCCCCCTAACCAACGGTGAAGCTGAGCGAGGTCCCCCTAGCCAATGGTGAAGCTGAGCGAGGTCCCCCTAACCAACGGTGAAGCTGATCGAGGTCCCCTCAGCCAACGGTGAAGCTGATCGAGGTCCCCCCAGCCAACGGTGAAGCTGAGCGAGGTCCCCCTAGCCAACGGTGAAGCTGAGCGAGGTCCCCCTAGCCAAAGGTGAAGCTGAGCGAGGTCCCCCTAGCCAACGGTGAAGCTGAGCGAGGTCCCCCTAACCAACGGTGAAGCTGAGCGAGGTCCCCCCAGCCAAAGGTGAAGCTGAGCGAAGTCCCCCTAGCCAACGGTGAAGCTGAGCGAGGTCCCCCTAGCCAAAGGTGAAGCTGAGCGAGGTCCCCCTAGCCAACGGTGAAGCTGAGCGAGGTCCCCCTAGCCAAAGGTGAAGCTGAGCGAGGTCCCCCTAGCCAACGGTGAAGCTGAGCGAGGTCCCCCTAACCAATGGTGAAGCTGAGCGAGGTCCCCCTAACCAACGGTGAAGCTGAGCGAGGTCCCCCTAACCAACGGTGAAGCTGAGCGAGGTCCCCCTAACCAACGGTGAAGCTGAGCGAGGTCCCCCTAACCAACGGTGAAGCTGAGCGAGGTCCCCCTAACCAACGGTGAAGCTGAGCGAGGTCCCCCTAGCCAATGGTGAAGCTGAGCGAGGTCCCCCTAACCAACGGTGAAGCTGAGCGAGGTCCCCCTAACCAACGGTGAAGCTGAGCGAGGTCCCCCAAGCCAAAGGTGAAGCTGAGCGAGGTCCCCCTAACCAACGGTGAAGCTGAGCGAGGTCCCCCTAACCAACGGTGAAGCTGAGCGAGGTCCCCCTAGCCAATGGTGAAGCTGAGCGAGGTCCCCCTAACCAACGGTGAAGCTGAGCGAGGTCCCCCTAACCAACGGTGAAGCTGAGCGAGGTCCCCCTAACCAACGGTGAAGCTGAGCGAGGTCCCCCTAACCAACGGTGAAGCTGAGCGAGGTCCCCCTAGCCAACGGTGAAGCTGAGCGAGGTCCCCCTAACCAACGGTGAAGCTGAGCGAGGTCCCCCTAACCAACGGTGAAGCTGAGCGAGGTCCCCCTAACCAACGGTGAAGCTGAGCGAGGTCCCCCTAGCCAATGGTGAAGCTGAGCGAGGTCCCCCTAACCAACGGTGAAGCTGAGCGAGGTCCCCCTAACCAACGGTGAAGCTGAGCGAGGTCCCCCTAACCAACGGTGAAGCTGAGCGAGGTCCCCCTAACCAACGGTGAAGCTGAGCGAGGTCCCCCTAACCAACGGTGAAGCTGAGCGAGGTCCCCCTAACCAACGGTGAAGCTGAGCGAGGTCCCCCTAACCAACGGTGAAGCTGAGCGAGGTCCCCCTAACCAACGGTGAAGCTGAGCGAGGTCCCCCTAACCAACGGTGAAGCTGAGCGAGGTCCCCCTAACCAACGGTGAAGCTGAGCGAGGTCCCCCTAACCAACGGTGAAGCTGAGCGAGGTCCCCCTAACCAACGGTGAAGCTGACCGAGGTCCCCCTAACCAACGGTGAAGCTGAGCGAGGTCCCCCTAACCAACGGTGAAGCTGAGCGAGGTCCCCCTAACCAACGGTGAAGCTGAGCGAGGTCCCCCTAACCAACGGTGAAGCTGAGCGAGGTCCCCCTAACCAACGGTGAAGCTGAGCGAGGTCCCCCTAACCAACGGTGAAGCTGACCGAGGTCCCCCTAACCAACGGTGAAGCTGAGCGAGGTCCCCCTAACCAACGGTGAAGCTGAGCGAGGTCCCCCTAGCCAACGGTGAAGCTGAGCGAGGTCCCCCTAGCCAACGGTGAAGCTGAGCGAGGTCCCCCTAACCAACGGTGAAGCTGAGCGAGGTCCCCCTAACCAACGGTGAAGCTGACCGAGGTCCCCCTAACCAACGGTGAAGCTGAGCGAGGTCCCCCCAGCCAACGGTGAAGCTGAGCGAGGTCCCCCTAACCAACGGTGAAGCTGAGCGAGGTCCCCCTAGCCAACGGTGAAGCTGAGCGAGGTCCCCCTAACCAACGGTGAAGCTGAGCGAGGTCCCCCTACCCAACGGTGAAGCTGAGCGAGGTC